TCTGCCTCCACACTCGGCATCTTCTCCAACACCCAGACACGCAGTGGCCTCGGGGACGACTCCATGACTGACCTTGGCATTCGGAAAACCCTTGACTTCAGCACTCCAAGATCACAAGCAAAGTATGTAGAACAAGCATATTATGTACATTCATCCGTGTGTAAAATGAGATAAAAAGCATTTGACCGAGTGAGTATGGTTTTATGCTGCTCTTTGCACAATTTAATTTTTAATTTAATCTTTCTTCTGGAGTTTTGGGGGAACATAACGCATTTTTGAGCCAGTCGTTGAGTGAGCTGACACTGCCAGCTTTGTATTGCAGGTTTGATGGGAGCCAGTCGTCGAGTGAGCTGATCACGAGTCTGAAGGTTGAGCTGGAGAGATGCTTGACCAGTAACAGACAGAAGAGGTCGCAGGTCAGTAAGATCCAAGAGGAACTGAGGGAGTACAAGAAGGAGGTCAAGGCCCTAAGGGGAGAAAACTCTCAGCTGGAAAAACTCACAGGAGAACAGAAGGTAAGAATAATAGTGAATAAGCAAACAGATATACAGAGCTCCTTTGGCAGTCCAAGGAAGATTTGTGTTGATGATCTTGGATGCATCTTGGTCATGGTATTGTGGGATGTATGCAGTTGTGTCATTATATCTGCAAATTGAAAAAAACATTACCAGTGTATAAATTATAGCCTGTCCCACCATCCTTGACGGTCTATTTTTGTGAAGGGCGGTCTAATAGAAAAGTAATACGGTCTCTGGGGTTATATTTCAAAACTGATTTATACATTGACATTACATGGGACTAATTTCAGCTTGAGTTGGCACTGTTTCAATCAGTGGTCCTTGGACAGGCGACATTTCAAATTTGATACCTCTGACTGGTCAATCAAAAGCGACTGAATTCTGTGGTCTGATTTGATACGATCAAGTCAACTGAATTCCCCAATTCATACTATAATGATGAGTTACTGTTGTTTGTGATGAGTTACTGTTGTTTGCTGCAAGACTTCGAGGAACTGCTGCAGCCGGGGCAGAAGATGAACGCCCTGGAGGCGAGGCTGCGGAAAGATATCGAGAATCTTACCCGTGAGAAGACAGCCTTATTAGAGGATAATGAGGTACGTCTGCTTGGAAGCAGTGAGAAGGCAGTGTTGCTTCACCTCGGCATCTGCAGTTTCTGGAATGAAGTGTGTTACTTGGTCCTTTTCCACAAAGATATTTTTGCTGACATGATCATAGCTCCCACACCCTTACAACCAGGGGTGGAAATAACCCATTGCCCGATGTCCGAGTCCAGTGTGTTTTTTGTCGGGCAACTTTTTGTCCAGTTGACTTTCCAATGTTAATTATATTGTTTATTTAAAAAATCAACAAGAAAACGGACGGTATAGTGGAAAAATTATCAGGGAAAGTGATTTTACATGTGTCACTGTACCGGAGTAGAGTAGCAATTTTAAAGTTATTTCCACCCCTGACAACAGTTGTAGTATTTCGCTGAATGGAATGGGGCCCTGGGTTCCCAATCGACAAAGCGATCTTAGTGCTAAGGTGTTCGTAACTCCCATATTATATTCAACGTCTGACAACATTTTTAGTGTTACAATCGCTTTGTGGTATGGGATCTCAGGGTCCTATGCTATGCTATTTGAATCCCTGGTATGGGAACCCTTAAACTTTATCTTTAAAATATGGGTTGGCCCCTTTACTTTCATGTTTGACTTTGGACACAGTGGATGAGTGTTGTTCCTCTCTGTACTCAGCAGTGTTTGAACCTGCACAACGTCCACAGGTGGTAGTGCTTCGGTGAAATCATCTATAGTGTCCTTGTAGTCCGACCCGTGAAGATCCGGGGTAGAATAGGTCTTCAGCAACCCATGCTTGCCACAAAAGGCGACTATGCTTGTCGTAAGAGGCGACTCACAGGATTGGGTGGTCAGGCTCGCTGACTCGGTTGACACATGTCATCGGTTCCCAATTTCGCAGATCGATGCTCATGCTGTTGATCGCTGGATTGTCTGGTCCAGACTCAATTATTTACAGACCGCCACCATATAGCTGGAATATTGCTGAGTGCGGCGTAAAACTAAACTCACTCACTTACTCACTCACTCCTTGTAGTCCAGCCTATGGTGACAGATTGACCTTTGTGATAAAAACATGGAAAATGGCAGTTGTAGGATAGGAATTTCAAAATTCTAAGAGGTCAAATTCTGTATAAACAAAATTAAATTTGCAGTTTGTAATTAGTATAATTGCTTCATCACATGGTCTAATATGTGTTTTGTTAAATATATTGCGTTGCAAAATATTCTGAAAGGAAAATTCCTTGAATGGTTTGTCAGTTGTGTTTCCCTCAAAATGCTGACTTCTGTTTTGTTCAAGGGAGATAAGTTGTGTTTCAGGAGTTGAAACAGAGGCTGGAGGAAGTGGGTGCTAATGATGAGCGATTGACAGAGATCAACCAGGAGCTGACCAATCAGATCTCACAGATGGTGCGAGACTACGACCATGACAAGAGGGATGCCCTTGAGAGGTGGGATATGGGGAACATCATCTTGATATACTGCAGGAGTCATAGATTATATTGATAATGCCAATAAATGTTTGTTATTCAGGGGTTCAAAAATCCCATTGCCCGACGCCCGGGACAAGTCAGTTTTCATTTCGGGCAATCAAATAATGGTATCTTACTTGTCCGTGGGCTACTAGATAATTTCCACTTATGGTTTCAAACTGCAAATAAACTTGGATTTAATTTCATATCTGCTCAAAATGTAGCTATTAAATTTTGCAATGATAATAAAGTAGAGTTATCTTTCTTTGCTATTTATCACTTTAACATCAAATACCATGTTAATTTATTCTTTCATAATTACATCATCATAATTATGTCATAAAATCAGGGCAAGTGGAGAATTAGTCAGGACAAGTTACTTTCTTTAAGTCACTTGCCCGGTTTATTTGAACCCCTGTTATTTCATGGATGAAATTAGTATTGATGGATGTGTGATCAGGTGCAGCTTGTCAAACAACTCACTCAGTCACTCTTGTGTTTTTGCAGGTGTCAGCGGACATGTGACCAGGTACACGAAGACGCCCGCGACATGTTGAGACAGGAGTTGGAGACCAAATTCAGCGTTGAGAGAGCGCAAATCGTCAACAGATACGAGACAGAAATTGCTAAGATAAGGTAGAGTGGTAAAATCAACTGTTTCTGGGGCTCCTTTCACCAAACGACCTTCACTAAGGTTAACCTTAACTCCCATTCTTTAAAGATAATGGGTACAACAAGGACTAGTCGGATCGGAGTCAGTATAATGTGTGGTAATTCATGCTTCAACATGTATCTCAGTGGGCTCACTATAAAACCAGCTTCAGTCTGGGCTAGTACAAGCAGCCGTGCATACACATACACACGCATGCAATATGGTATTCTCAACCGACGTTAAACTCCAATTTCACCAACAACATTGCACTAAGGTTACCTTAGTGACTTACGATAACCTTAGTGCAATGTGAAAGGAGGTGCAGATCTACTGTATTTGTATTATGGCAATCACTCAGTGGTGACTGGGTATAGAAAATAATATCTGACTAATATCGGGACTTGCTAATTTTAAAAACATAATCAACAGTCAAATGCACTCAAAATAAATAAATATCTAAATGTAGCAGTAACGTCATTGGTCAGATTCTGAAGTGCCAGAGTATGGCCCCAGTGAAGCCATTCACCACTGGTTGAAAGCAAAACCCAGGCGGCTGAGGAGGGTTCTCCAACCCCAGGAATCTCATGAAGTCAAAGACGATGAGCAGATAGATTTACATGCATATGAGGGAGAGGATGGTGAGGCCCACAGCTCAAGATTCTGACTGTGACAGGTGCTATGATAGTGATGGCAGCATCTCAGATACAGACAATTATGATGTGGAGGATTCTTCCAGTGATGATGCAATCATTCCCAATGAGAGTGGACAATTGCAGTCGTTGAGTTTGCAAGATGCGATTCATGAGACCAAAAGCGGGCCTTTTAGATCATTAAATACATTAATAATAACAAGTAAAGTATAGGAAACAAAAACCTTAAGAAAGAGAGTACAATGAAATTTAGTAACCGTGTTTCGTTTCATATATGCACCACAACATTATTTAAACAAATACCTAGTATGGATTGACATACATGGGTGGGGTTTTTTTTATGTCGATGAGTGACGTTCCCATCAACAGGGGCTGCCTCTAAGATGACCACCGCTACCACAGGTCGAATGTTGTTAAGTTTTGAAAGCAATCAGGAACTAAGCAATAAACAACTGTCGACAGCACGCGTGTAATTTACGTTATGTCAGATTGTATTACCCATAAATAAAATCTGGAAACTGTTACAATACCAAACAATGTATGATTTGGAGGTATAAAATGATATAGTTTAGATAACAAGCAGGTTATGTTTACAACAGATACAGGTTAGTTGAACACAGACCAGTAATGTTCATTTTAAAGACTGATTTTTTTAAGAACGTACTCATACGTGACGGTGATGACATTGTAACTTTGCTGCAAAGCGTTATGGGACCATTGGTTTCTTTGAAACAACATGTCGTTCTATTGTTTAATAGCAGCATCGACACAGATAAACATCATCATGAACGCGGATGATCACTTCAGATAAACAAAATGTAATTTATGTTTAATTGACAGTTAAAATGGTCCATGAATGGTCCTCCTCCCCCTCCCCCAAAGCACCAAAAATCACGTGTCTGTAACCATTTTAATTTCTGCATGCGAGCAATTCCATGGATTCCATTGTCGTGAATGCCACTCTTTCACCCTAATGTAAATTACTAAAAGTGTGATGATGTTTGTGTACGTAAATTTCATACAAATATTTCTTTCGGAATCATTACTTAAGGTGATAAAACAATTCAACATGTTGATGAAATTCAAGTGTGCATTTTGTCAACTAGGTCCAAGTGATAATTGTTGTGATGTTTGTTGTTTGCAGGTCGGACCTGATGGTTTGGCCAGCAGGACCTGGACAAGGTGAAGGACCTGTACGTGAGGACAAGTGAGGAGAGGACAGAACTGGAGGATGTCCTCACCAGGCAGTTTGAAGAACAGAAGGAGAATGAAATGAAGATTGTGAGTCAATTTTTAAAACTAATTTGATCTGCTGTCCTACAGAATTGCTGCTATATGTCACTGTATCTGAATCTAGACTCAGCTATTATACCACCTATGAAGAAGTGAGTTGGGTGGTTCACGGAGAGGAGGATGTAGTTGTGACTTGAGCACACGCCTTCATTCAGTTAAATGTTGGTTTGAGATAGCCTTGAGGATCAAACCTTCTCACATCACACAGGACAACATATGGCAATATGCTTCAGAGTAATGTAGAGGTGTGTGGTCCTGTGCATAGAGCTCAGGTCACAAATCAGTTGGAGTTTACCAATGTTGGTCGCGGAGTGTCCTTGGATGGGTGACCGTGTTTGGCAGCTTGACTCGAGTTTCAAGGACTTCAGTCCTGCCCCAGAACGAAGCACATGCAATTCATGTGGTCTCACCTTAGGCAAGTGAGTTTATTCAAAATTGCCTTTGTGCACCCAGCAGAAAATGGGTACCCGGTTGAAATAAGTCCTGAGACTATTAACCTTCTAGCGCCTAACAGGCAGCTTGGGTTATCCAGGGTAATAATGATCAGATTGTGCACTTTGAGCAGGATATCTAGCCTGGCGCGGTATAAATATTCTCAGTATTATTATAATGTAGGATTGCCATACAGAATGTGATCTGCTATTATGTAAACAGTAGATCATTAGTAAGGGTTGTTGTAAGGGTCGTCAGATCCCTGCAGTCCAGAAACCTCCTCCTGTGAAGTTGCCTGTTGTGTTGTAGTTGCGGGATGAACTGGAGAGGGAGAAACAAGAGGAGATGGAGAGACAGATTGAACAGCTGGACATCAAACGTGGGGAGCTCCGCACTCAAGTCATGGATGAGGTCAAGGTCACCCAAGAGGAAGAGATCAAACAGAGGCTTGAGGCTGAGGTAGGTGTGGAACTCATGCATAAGTATTGTTTATTTCCGAAAGATTGCTTCGTCTTCCTGATGGCTAGGTCCCATCTAAGGCCTAAAAAAATTAATCTTGGTTCTCTGGCATCTCAGCAGCATCATAAACCCTGCCGCATGTGTGTTTTTATTTCCATTTAAAAATAAAAAGGTAAATATTCCGCATCTAGAACACAGTGGAATGCAGCAATACTGAAATAACTTGATCCGACACTATGTAGAGTTACTTCCCTTTACATGCGCACTACGCTACTTCGCCTTGTGCTGTGGTCCTGTCGCAAGACGAGAGACTGTTGAATGTGAATGCTTCAAACCCTATAATTGTCCATGACAACAACAATTTCCTGTGTTTTTCAACTTGGATGGAATCAAGTGTGTTGTGATATACCAAAAATCAAAGCTTTCATTGAATTTTTTTTCATTTTGTTTTTGAATTATCGTGGTCAAGAATGTGTTACTTTTTATTCACTATATTTATGGCCTTGACTTTGACAGCTTGCAAAGGCTCGTGTTGATTGGCTGGGAGGGCAGGACACTGAGCATGTGCGACAGGAAGTAAGGCAGGCAGTGGAAAAGGAGATGGCTCTCAAACATGAGGCAGCAATGGAGGACATGCTTCAGGAGAAGATTGAGCAAGGTGAGCCTTTTTGATGGCAAGGACGAGGAAATCACAGATTGTCCATGATATGACATATCTACAGACCCATGAAGATCCAGGTTAGAATTGGTCTTTGGCAAAGGCGACTAACAGGATTGGATGGTCAGGCTCGCTGAGTTGGTTGACACATTGTCAATACGATGTCATCATATCCCGATTACGTAGATTGAGGCTCATGCTGTTGATCACTGGATTGTCTGGTCCAGACTTGATTATTATCCCCCACCACATAGTGGAGGTGGATATTGGTTTGAGCTCTGTCCATCTTTCCGTCTGTCCGAGATGATGGGGACAGATTTACACAAAAACAGTTAGATAGAGAAACCAAATCTGGTATGTGTTTTGGAGTTCAAAATCAGAAACTGTCTTACAATTTGTTGCAGAGTTATGGCTGTTGTCATGCGTTTCTTGACTTAGTGAACGGCATCCCCAATGGGAACAGATTTTCTCAGAAACCGTTATAGATAGGGAAACCAAATTTGATATGAGTTTTCAGGACAAGAATGCCTTGATGGAGTTCAAAAACGGAAACCATCTTACAATTTGTTACAGAGTTATGGCCCTTGTCGTGAGTTTCTGGACTTAGTGCACGTTATCACCAATAGCATTTTTCCCTAACCATTATTGATAGGGAAACCAAATGGGGTATGTGTTTTCAGGAAATGAATGTCGTAGTGAGATGTAAAAACAGGAACCAAATAGGAACAGAACACTGTGGCGGGGGACATTGATGACCATGTCTTCAGGTTTACAGACTAATATAGGTGGGGTAGCCTAGTGGTTAAAACTCGTCAACAAAGACCGGGTTCAAATCCCACAAATTGATAGTGTGTGTGAAGTGGCATTTCTAAAGGGTTCCCCTGGCCGTGATGATAATTTTCCCAAATATTGCTAAAGCAGCTGATAAAACAAAAACTCAGTCAGTCAGTGTTTACAGACTAATATAGCTGGAATATTCTGAGTGCGGCAGTAAACAACAGACAAATCTACAAGCTATACCCTGGACACAGTTTCGAATCCCAGATGTTTTAGGTTTGTCTGTGCCATATGTTGTTGGTTGTTTGGTCTTTCCTTGTATCTCAGCTGAGAAGCCATTATAATACTGTTCAAATGTCATCAAACCAAACTAGCATCAAAACTTGCTGAGTAATAATAAGATGTGATTCTATTTTCAGCAAAAGTTACCTGGATGGCGGAAAGGAAAATTCTGTTTGAGTCCGAAATACAGCAGCGTATGCAGACTGAGAAGGTCACATGGCAGCAGTTAGCCAATCAGAGGCTAGAAGAGGCAGTTAACACAGCCATTGACCAGGCCAAGGCTCAGTGGCTGAAGACGGAAGATACAAGTAACAGATATGAGGTAGGTTCAGTCTCAACATAGCAGAAATCTGTGATCAAGCTTCAAGTTCAGTGAAATAACTGAAACACTGTATAATAAAATGTCACTCACTAACTAACTGACCCACTCAATCACTCAACTCACTAACCCTCACTTGCTCGCTCACTCACCCACTCTCTCACACTCTCACACACTCACTCACTCACTCAGATGTGACCCAGATTATTGACTTGTTGACACTGGAAAGACGTGATGAATCATGACAGTGACGCATTCAGTCACTCTTTCACCCACTCACCCAGTCAGGGCAGTGATGTAGCCCAGTGGTTAAAGCATAATCTCGTCACGCCGAAGGCCTGGGTTTGACTCCCCATTTGGGACATTGTGTGAAGCCCATTTCTGGTGTCCCCTGTTGTGATATATATTGCTAAAACCAGTGTAAAACTAAACTTCACTCACTCACTCACTCACTCACTCACTCACTCACTCACTCACTCACTCACTCACTCACTCACTCACTCACTCACCCACTCACTCCACGCACTCACTACACCCACTAATCCGTGTCACTAACCCATTCAGTCACTCATTCACTCCCTTATTAACCGACTCACTCAACTACAGTGGAAGCTGTCTAAACCGGCACTTGTCAGAACTAAAGAAATAATCTGGTTTAGACAGCATGCCGGATTGTACAGATGACACGGTTATTTCCGACTAGAAGGGAACAAGTTTTGTCACTCTCATATACATTGTTGTATCACAATAAAACATGACAACTCACCAGTTACATGTACAAGTATACCCATGCTGAACTAAGATTAAATTGTCTTTGTCAGCAACCATGTAGTTTCAACGCAGGATTAATTGGTGACAATACACATCCAGCTGAATCCGCAGCCACGCCGGATTAGACAGCACTGATTACAGTATAAACCCATATTCGGGCGGCTCATTTCATGCCGAGATCCGGAATTGACAGCTGCCTGATTGCAGAGCTTTTAAATGATGCTAATTGCACTAGCCACAGACGGGACTGAGATTTTATGCCAGTGTTGACAACTTGCCGGATTGGACAACTGCCGGTTTTGACAGCTTCCACTGTACTTCACTGACCCACTCACTCACTCACTCATTTATCATTGTAGGATCTGCTGGAATCTGCCAAAGCCAAATGGAAGACTGAGTCTGATCAGAAGCTTGAGGAAACAGTGACTGCAGCTGTGGAGAAGGCCAAACAAGACTGGGAGAAGACTTCTGCTGAACAGCACAAGGATACAGTTGAAAGCCGAGTGAAAGAAAGACTTAAAACGGAGAAAACGTTGTGGCAGGTGGAAGCAGACGCACTCCATGAGGTGGACATCAAACATGCTGTGGAGAGCGCTCATCAGAAGTGGATGAGTGAACGAACTGGAAGGGAATCGATGGATCCAGCTTTTCAGAATCGTCTTCAGGCTGAAAAACAGAAATGGCAGCTGGAGACAGACAGGAAGTTGCAACTGGAGGTCAATCGGGTCATGGAGCGTGCTCAGAAACAGGGTTTGTCTGAAGTAGAGAAGAAGAATTTAGTGGAGGAAGAAGTATCCAAGAGACTGGAGGTGAGTTGGGAAAATGTAGATGGTATGGAGATATTTAGGGTTGTTGGTATTAAATATGGCTGTGTATTGGCAAATAAATTGTATTGCAATATATTGCAATTCAGGTACCCGTATTGCCATACGTATTGTGATATATTGGGTACTTAAATGTTTGACAGTTAGTGACTCTAATTGTGCATGTCAATCCAATTTTCTACGTTGTAAGTCCCTAAACATATATGTTATGGTCTTAATAACAGAATTTCTCAAAATTAGGTTGCATAGTCATGGATTCTGTTTACTTTTTTATACAATTTATAGTATCACAGTATGCCGTTTTGTCATTGAATAACGAAGGAAAACACTTATGAATGAAAGTATGTGTAGATTTTAACTTAAACTATCAAGATAATCACAAAACTTTGTATGTGTTCTTTATCCAATGTACCCGATCTCAGAAAAATATTGCAGTATGTATCGTTTGAAAAGCGTATTGCGATATACCAGTATATAGGTAATACCGTGCAGTCCTAGTATTAACATGTATTGGGTATAATATTTTGGGTTATTGGTATGAAAATGTATCTTGATGGTGGTATGAAAATAATTTTGGGTTTTTGTTTTAAGCTGGGTTTACAGTGGGCTTTTGGGGAAAAGAGAAGTGGGTAGCCCAGTGGTTAAAAGCATTCGCTAGATCAGGCCCAAATAACAGACCAGGGTCCGATTTCCCACATGGGTACAATTTGTGAAGCCCATTTCTGGTGTCCCCCACCATGATATTGCTGGAATATTGCTAAAAATGGCGTAAAACCATACTCAGTTAGCCAGACAATGGGCTTTTGATCTTCTTTACTAAGGTAGAGTTTAAAGTCAGATAAAGTGTCAATGAAAACTGTGTGATTTTTATCAAAAGTTCCCAAGTATTCTTCAGTACAACTTTCATTCCACTGCATGCAAATATAACCCTTTGCAGAACTTGTAACATTTCACTGGAAAATATTTGTGGCCTTTCCCAAATCACCTACATTCTATTTTTCTCACTTCAATACTGAATGACTCACTGTTTGCAGGTGGAGCAAGATAAATTTCAATATAAGGGTAATGCTATTTTTGAGGGCGTTATCATTTGCAGAAGCCCGAGGTCTTCTATTAACTGTCCGACGAAGGAGGGCAGTTGAAAAAGACTGAGGGCTTCTGCAAATGATAATGCCCTCAAAAATAGCATTACTGCTATTATTATGCTAAAATACATGGAATTTGTGTTGAAAAGAAAAAGGAAACAACGAAGGAATTTCACTGTAAGTTTACACAAAACCAACCCCTGACGGGGTTGATTGCCCGAATGCAATTACGTCATCGAACAATTGAAGTGACATCACCACAGAAAGTGACGGTATTCGACCTTGGCCTTTGACAAGACCATAGCCTGCAACATGTCAAACTATGTCAGTGTTCGGTTTTGGTCCATCAACAGCCTTAATAGTGCAATTGTTAAGGTTAGCACCAACAAGAAAGCCAATATTACCGCTATTTAAAGCGGGAATTTGGGTTGCTTTGACTTGTTTGACCCAGAATATCTGACAGTCGAAAGCTAATTAATGTCAAATGAACCGTATGCCCACGCACCCACTATGACGTCACTTGTCAACAGAACTGATAGTGGCCCGTTGTTAAGTTGAGCGGTCCAATATCCTTTGCAGCGGCCCGCAAATTTCTGATAATGGGAGGGCCGTTTCATGATAATTCCATGTATTTTAGCTATAATACTCAATGACCCACTGTTTGCAGGTGGAGCAAGATAAACTTCAATACTCAATGACCCACTGTTTGCAGGTGGAGCAAGATAAATGTCAATACTCAATGATTCACTATTTGCAAGTGGAGCGAGATAAACGTCAATACTCCCTAACTCGTTGTTTGCAAGTGAAGCGAGATAAACGTCAATACTTCCTAACTCGTTGTTTGCAAGTGGAGCGAGATAAACTTCAATACTCCCTAACTCGTTGTTTGCAAGTGGAGCGAGATAAACGTCAATACTCCCTAACTCGTTGTTTGAAAATGGAGCGAGATAAACTTCAATACTCCCTAACTCGTTGTTTGCAAGTGGAGCGAGATAAACGTCAATACTCCCTAACTCGTTGTTTGCAAGTGGAGCGAGATAAACTTCAATACTCCCTAACTCGTTGTTTGCAAGTGGAGCGAGATAAACTTCAATCCTCCCTAACTCGTTGTTTGCAGGTTGAAAGAGAACGTTGGAGAAAGGAGATGGAGGCGAGGGTGTTAGCGGAGGTGGAGATGACCGTGAAGGCGACAGAGACAGAGTGGCATCGTCAGGAGGAGGAAGAGAGGAAGAAGATGAGGGAGGTTTTGGAGGACGAGATAGGAGGAAGACTCCGACAGGAGGTGAGTGCTCTAGAATCATGTTATGTGTGATCTTGTAACATGATGTTCAGACTGTGGTCGGGGTGAGTAAGAATTGTCTTAAGAGTAATCTTGTGACATAAAGTTTGGACTATGAACGGGATGAGTAACCCTGTCATGTGCATCAATTGTTTTTGTTTCATGTAGAGTTGCCTCCCTTGGGCATCCAAGAAACATGTGATCATAAGTTTGAATCCAGATTTTTCCCTGATTATGTTTCTAATTTAGTCATCACTATGCCATGTTCTTTAGTTTCACACCCAAGACCTGATCCATTTCAGACTGACCTTCCATAATCGGCTCTCATGCCATGTCATGAGTGGAAATTAATCCTCAACCATAGGCCCAAGTCTAGTAGAAATTACTTTGGGCTGATCGATTTTTTATCCATCCTGCCTGTACCACAACTTTTTGAGTCTTTAAAATTAAAAGTTAAGGGTCTTGATATGTAAGGACTCAAAACCTTTTGCAGGGCTAGCAGGAAAAAAATCATCTTGCCCTATAGGCTTGTTATCCCCTGCTGCGCATTTAGCGGGGAGCGGGGATATAGTATTAGGCTCTGTCCGTCCGTCCGTCCGTTACGAATTTTAATTGAATATCTTAAGAACTGTTGGCTAGATTCTTTTCATATTTGGTACCTAGGTTCATCACAGTATAAGAAAGGTCCCAGTCAGGTTTGGTGACCTTGACCTTCATTTCAAGGTCACAAGGGGACTTTAACGTTTTACTCTTGTTAGCAAGATATCTCAAGAGCGGTTCACTAGATTTTTGTGACCTTCACATTATTTTCAAGGTCACTGCAACACTTTGAAGATTTCAGCATGTTAACCTGAATTCACTGGATTTTCTTCATAGACTTTCAAGACTTCCCTTGAATGTTTTTCAATAAGCAATTTCTTTAGTACCATTTTTGCATATTTCATACACTATTACATTCATGTCAAGGTCAAAGTCAGTCTTGAAAATATTTGTGTGTTTAAACAACTAAAGAGAAGATATCAAGAGAGGTTGAGTGGTCATGTTTTTGTTGACATTTAACTTCATCTTAAACTTTCATTACTTTTTAAGTTTGATTTGATAATTTGCGGCGGGGGGTTATGTCAACTTAGTGACAATGCTTGTGTTTTCTTAGGTTAATTGTCATCCCTTCATGTCAACTAAAATAGCGTTCACGGTGGCTTGGAACCAAACTCACGTTCCTAAATAACATACCTCACCCTGCTCCATATTGTGGGGTTGTGAAAGGTAGAACCTGCCAGCAGGTGCTTGACATATGAGCTGACTTGGTGTTACAGAGTGTTCTATTCTTGCAGATGAGCAGAGCTGTAGAAGATGCCAGACTGGAGTGGGAAAATAAACACCTGTCCCAGCATGCAACACTTGCAGCCGGCCGATCAGCTGCTGAGGTCACAAGGTCAATCTTGGAGCAGGTATGTAAGCATCTCTTTAGCATGAAAGCAAGCATGAACAAATTTGTGTCATCATTGTGAATTCTCAGGAAAGATATTTGAAAACAAGCATGTCACTGATACAGTGATTAGAACAGCTGTTGTTTGTTAGTTTGAATCATATATTTATATTGGGGTTGTCTTGTGATGACAACAGTCGCTTTTCATGAAACCACTTCATTCATCTGACCACCTCCATGGTGTAGTGGTTAGAGCATCCGCCCGGAGAGCGGAAGGTCGCGTGTTCAATCCCCGACCGCGTCATACCAAAAGACTTTAAACTATGGTACTTGTTGGTCCCTGTCTGGTGCTCGGCATTAATGGGTACAACAAGGACTGGTCGGCTCGGAGTCAGTATAATGTGTCTGAGTGGGGTATTCATCTCAGTGGGCCCATCTCAGTGGGCTAGCACTATAAAACTAGCTTCAGTCTGGGCTAGTACAAGCAGCCACACATACACACGCATGCACATCGTCATATGAGCGAAATATTCTCAAGCATGACGTAAAACCCAATTTCACTTCATTCATCTCTCTGGTCATCCGCCCAGAGACAACCTCCATGAGGCTGTGAGCAGAGAGTCTACCCACAGACTGCCTCTGTGGTGTTGTGGATAGAGGGTCTGCCCAGCGACCACCTTTCTGTTCAACTAGATAGAGGGTCTGCTTCTCCGGAGACAGCTATGTGACCTTGTACACAGGGCATCCGCCCAGAGACAACCTCCATGAGGCTGTGAGCAGAGTCTCTACCCACAGACTGCCTCTGTGGTGTTGTGGATAGAGCGTCTGCCCAGTGACCACCTTTCTGTTCGACTAGATAGAGGGTCTGCTTCTCCGGAGACAGCTATGTGACCTTGTACACAGGGCATCAGTCCAGAGACAACCTCCATGAGGCTGTGAGCAGAGAGTCTACCCACAGACTGCCTCTGTGGTGTTGTGCATAGAGTGTCTGCCCAGTGACCACTTTTCTGTTCAACTAGATAGGTCTGCTTCTCCGGAGACAGCTATGTGACCTTGTACACAGGGCATCAGCCCAGAGACAACCTCCATGAGGCTGTGAGCAGAGAGTCTACCCACAGACTGCCTCTGTGGTGTTGTGGATAGAGCGTCTGCCCAGCGACCACCTTTCTGTTCAACTAGATAGAGGGTCTGCTTCTCCGGAGACAGCTATGTGACCTTGTACACAGGGCATCAGTCCAGAGACAACCTCCATGAGGCTGTGAGCAGAGAGTCTACCCACAGACTGCCTCTGTGGTGTTGTGGATAGAGGGTCTGCCCAGTGACCACCTTTCTGTTCAACTAGATAGAGAGTCTGCTTCTCTGGAGACAGCTATGTGACCTTGTACACAGGGCATCAGTCCAGAAACTGTCTCTGTGGAGATAGTCTCTCCTGGTTCTAATGGATAGGGGTCAGCCAGTGAGTGCCTCCTTGGTGTTGTGACTGCCTCCATCTGCTTCAGTAATCTTCGGAAACATGCCTCCACTTCCATGTTTCAAGATGTCATCTTTGGTTGACTGTAGAATCTGTGTAGATTTTAAGTTGAAAGATAGAAATGAAACAAAACTTGCTATACATTTACTCGCTATACTGGAACACAGAATATATACATCGTTTGAAAAGGGTATTGTGATATATTGATATCTACAATGTATTGGTATACCAGTTACACTGTGCAGTCCATATGAACTTGTTCTCTCCAACCAGGAGGTGGAGACCCTGAAGCTGGAGAAGACCCGTCTGGTGAATGAGTTGAAGGAGAAGGAGTCCGTCTGGCTCCAGGACAGACAGACGCTCATCTGCCAGAAGGATGCTGAGAGACGCCAGGCCGCGAAAGAGGTGGCGGAACAGTGTGAGAGGGACTACAAAGCCTTCATAGAGGAACACCAGAACACACTCACTGAGGCGCTTCGGAATAGTCGGCAACAGCAAGACCTCATGGAGCAGGAGAAGGTAGGCAGTGAAGGGCAAGGTCGCAGTCAAATACTATATTCTTATCAAAAACCAACAAGTCCCAAGAAGATGTGTCAAAAGAAGCTGCATCTATCTCTATCCTGTTTATCAGCAACCAAGTTAATTCGATGAAACATTAATAAGTAGGGGTGGGTATTGCCGAAAATTTTGTGATATGTATTGCAATATATGGCAAGAATTCTTTAAAAAAAAAACTACTTATAATGGAGTTAATGCTTGATTTACAAAGCAAAAACACACCAAAATCCCTATGCTTGATTAGGCTTTAATAAAAACTTTAAATCATGACAAAATAAAAATGCAAATAATGTTTGGAACAAATGAAACAAGGAAAGGAACAAATTAAAAAACCGGAAATATCCGAAGATTTCCGAGTGTTATGAAGTTTTCCGAATGCTTGTCAAAATACCGGTTTTCGATCAGCGTATCGCAATACGTATCGATCTCATGCCTAAACCGGTATATACCGGTAAACCGGTTATATTGCGCAGCCCTAATAATAAGGATTGGTATTCGGTGTTAGAGCACTTATTAATAATGGTCGCAGTGTATGAAATTTCAAGTTTAAAAAATAGAGAGAGTACAAAGTAGATATGGTTAAGAATGCAGCGTCTTCATCCATCCTGTTGGTCGGCAGCCAAGTGATATATTTTTTCCAGTAGAAACGGGCAATGAAGGGGAATGTTCCATCGTATGTAATTTCCGTTTAAGAAATAGTCCCAAGTAGATCTGGGGAAAAAATGCAGCCTATGTCTCCATTAGAGCTGTGACGATATATTGTAGTATCAATAATCGTGATACCTTTTCTGACAATAAATATAGTGATACATTTTTCATATCGTTATATGTATCGTTGACCTAAAATTTTTGGAATTTTCCCTAGAAATTGACGGTTATGTCAAAATTTACACTCTTACTTGTTATCAAAATACACTTTTTTAAAGAAAATAACTGAAGACAGCATATCGTGATACGCTTCGTATCGTGAAATTTCTGTATCATCACACCTCTAGTCTCCATCCATACTGTTAGTCAGCAGTCAAGTGAACTACATATTCGTTCCATTAGAGATAAAGATTGATAACATGATGTGAGAGTTGGCAGATTGATCGATAAACGGTCAGTCGATTGATCTTGCTTGCGTCATGATTATCGGTGGGCTTGGGAGACTGATCAATATTCATAAAAAATGAAACATCAAATTAAACTTTCGAAAGTATTTTTCTTTTGTTACGTTTGTTATATCGAAACATAAACAACTGATGCAGTTTCCTGACTCGTAAAACTGCTGTGTAAACAACATACTCGTGTGTATGTCTCAACAGGAATTATCCTCTATTGTGTTAATCCATGCACATGAGTTTTGTGGTGGAGTTTAATATTGCAATCAATTATCAACCAATTACTGAGCTCTGTTATCAATCTGCATATTGTGAGTGATAACCAGCACTGGTGAGTGAGCGAGTGGCTTAGGTTTATGCCGCACTCAGCAATATTCCATCTATGTGGCGGCAGTCTGTAAATATTCAAGTCTGGACCAGAAAATCCAGTGATCAACATCATGAGCATCGATCTACGCAATCGGGCTACAATGACATGTATCAACCAAGTCAGCGAGCCTGACCACCCAATCCTGTTAGTCACCTCTTACGACAAGCGTGGGTTGCTGAAGATCAAGTCTAGACCAAATCTTCACGGGTAGCACTGGTGAGAGCAATGATTATTGATGTTAGCAGGGTTGCAGGAATTCTGCGATTGTGGGTTTAAACTCAGATTCATCCTGATTGTGTTTTGATTATTGTACAAGATTCACTCATTGTCACTGATTATAGGTGTAAATATAGTGAGTGATGAGTTCTCACTCTTTGTCTGAAGTTTGACTGTCTCTACCACCAGAGGGAGTTGCAGGAGCGAATTGAAGAGCTGACAGACGGGAAGTCTCGGGAGCTGCAGATGGGTCAGGGCGACCTGTCCACCAGCATCACAGCAGATGGGGACCTGGAGGTAAGTCAGGGCAATGACCTGTGTGAGAATATGATATTTACTGGAAGCACATATGAGATACACTTATGTTTCCACTTAATTTTACACGTATCTCATGTTTGTGTCAAGAAATTGAGGCGATTAACGGGCGATGACCAGTGTCAGAATATGATATTTACTGGAAGCAAATATGAATTACACTTCCGTTTCCACTTAATTTACACGTATTTCATGTTCGTGTCAAGAAATTGATAATATTGTGTAGGACTGTTACGATTCGCTTCTATTTTCGGTGAATGGAATCGTAAACTTCTATGAATGCAATTCATGATCAGTAGAACCAAAACATATATATTTTTCCTTATCCTGACTCATGCTCTTTTGCTTGTCTTCTTCTTCTTGCGAACATAGTGGAACACTTGTATCTCCTTATTTGAAGCTCCCTTCAAAATAAAATCACTAATTGGTACTCACCACGAGTTGCTCCCCTTTGCTTCCCCTGGCGGGAAAGGTGTCGCCACCCCCCGGCCATGTGCTCCACTCTCTCCTTCTTCGCCCAGTGAGCAGGATGTGAGAGCGCCTGGTGTCTCCTTACACACCATATCCTTTGATAATCTCTTAGTTTTACCTCTCATAGGTTACTATAGAGGTATAGCTAGTATCCTTTACTATTTGTATTGATTAATTATCGTATTTCTACTGTTTATTCACGTATTAAGTGATTGATTGTTCAGCTAACTTTACGTTCATGAAAATCTGTGCGATTTGTAGATTACGTTTTCTGCCTCCGATCCACATGTAATATGCCCTAGTTGTTCTACGCCGTGTGCGTTTAATTCACGTTGCAGTTACTGCATTAATTTATCTCATTCTGCATTTAATAAATATCATCTTTGCGTCTTAAGGCGTGCTGCAGATAGATCACGCAAACAAGGGCAAAACATGGCAGAGAGTCAGATATTCCTTCCAGTCAGCTGCTAGCGATCGACCCTCTCCCGTCTGGTGTTCTGCTAGAGACCCCTGCGGCAGAGGAACGTGGGACGCCAGTCCGTTACCTCGAAGAAGCGACCGGCCTCCCCAGACATCCCGTCATTGCAGACTAAGTCAAAGAGGGCCTCATCGTCGTCTCAACGCCAGATTGAGGACACCCAGGGCAGCGCCAGACTTCCAAAGGAAATCTACGAAGACAGCAAGAACTTTCTCAGCGAGATCGTTCCAGCAGCAGAGTTGGGCCTCTCGATGATCAGCCGATAATCATCCCGACTTTCACGGCAGAAGAAGCGACCGGTGTCAGCGACTGTGACTTCTGCAGAGATCTCCATGCAGCCTGATGCCTCTACACCGGCGTCAGGCGTCATTGATGTGAACCCCATCGCAGAAAAGAGCCCGACGACTTCGTCACAGATCATCCCAGAAGACATGATGCGGCAGATTATGAACATCATGGAGGACCACTACAAACTGCGCAAGCAGGGTCCGAACTGCCAGCGAAGGCTCCAACGTAGACAACACCCCAGAGGCACCCCGTCCAACGTAGCAGCCAAGACGATGTCACCTTCGCGAAGGAAGTCCCGCACCACCTTGACGAAGGACCTAGATGTACAGCCTTCGCGAAGGCCTTCGCGAAGGCGGGAGAGATCATCACCATCTTCGATTTCATCTCTAGATATGGACTCAGACCATCAGACATCACGGAAGCCTTCGCGAAGGTCATATCATCGATCCCCCGGACCGGACGCAAATGAAGCTTCGCGAAGGCATTCGCGAAGGACATATGATTCCAGATCTTCATCGTCTAGAAGAACATCGAGGGACTGCCGAAGAGCTTCGCGAAGCTATCAACATTCACCTCACAAGTCTCCGAGAAGATCATCCCATAGACGATCTCCACTCCGTTCATCACCAGGTCGATCACCCATCAGATCTCCACATAGAAGCGGCACAAGTCAACTAGATGCGCCACAAACCTCATCAGATATACAGACAGCTACACGCCAGTCCCGGAGCATCTACAATTTATTAATGATGATGGTTTGAGGATGATGGAGGAATCATATTTTCTGATGCAGAGATACGGTATTGGATGGTCAATAACCTAGATCTCACATCACCATCTAAAAGTGGCAATACAGCTCAGGCGTATTTGATGAAGGAAGATGATCCAGATGCAATCACTCTACCCCGATCGACCCGATTATGCGGCAGTGCCACAGAATCTAGATGCAGCTTTCCAGAAAGCTACGAAAGTTCAGATACCACATCTACCCAACTTTCAAGCCAAGAAGTTCTCCACGCATAACATGGACTCCTTCTACAAGGCCCAGGACATCGATGAGAACTATAAGATCATCAGCGATGTAAAGAACAAGATTTACAAGATGGATGATCGCAAGTTGGCTCATATAGAAACCATGACGAGACGTATGTCCTTGGCTCGTCGTCAAGGCCTCCTCGCCTCCTGTAATTGGGGGGAGAACTTTACAGCCCCACTTTATACAGCCCCGTGGTCGACAACATCCATCTTTGACGGAGAAATCGACAAAGGTCGCCAAGGAAGTCTCTAAGGATTCCAGGGAAGTCCTTATGATTAGATCGATGGACACACTAGCCAGCGTCATTCGTCAGACTTCACAAAGATACTCAGGCAGATCTAAGTTCACGGGCCTACAAAGAGCAAGAGACAGGAAGATAGCCAGCTCTAGAGGTAAAGATTCTTTTAAGAGTAAGCCATATGGCAACTATAGAGGAGGATCAGGAAGAGGCAGGACACCCAGAGGTTCCCCGCAATTATAGACGCTGAAACACAGGTTGGAACGACTGGAGTCTTCCACCCCCAGCCGTTCCAGTACAACCAACTCAAGTGGGTGGGCGCTTCCAACTACACTGGGAAAACTGGGGAATACTGCAAGATCCTTACGTCTCCAACATTATTCAACCACGGATTTCAGTATCCCTCTACAGGACAAGCCTCGCTGACAATCAAACCCCCAAGTTCGATTTACAAAGCAACAACTACCAAAGATAAAAGAGGCTGTCTCATCACTCCTATCCAAACAGGCCATAGAAGTAATAGACCAAGCAAACGTCGAACCAGGTTTCTACTCCCCAGTTTTCCTAGTTCCCAAGAAAAACTCCACGGAGAAATACAGACTCATCTACAACATGAGCTTTTCAACAAGAACTATCTCACGCAAACCACGAAGTTTTCGCATGATACATTTACCTCAGTTACGCCAGATGATTAGATCCCTATGGACTACATGGGCAGCATAGATCTACAGGATGCCTACTTGCACATCCCCATTCATCCCGATTCCAGGAAATACCTACGATTTACTCTAGAAGGGCTACATTACCAGTGGAAAGTACTCCCATTCGGAATATCATCAGCCCCCTGGCTATTCACGAGGATAACGAAACCGATTATCAAATTTCTACATCGTCAAGGGCTACGCAGTGCGTTTTACCTCGACGACGGGATACAAGTAGATCAAGATCCACTGCGTCTCAAACTACAGTTAAATTACATCATAAAGCTACTAACACAACTAGGTTGGTTAGTAAACTTACGCAAGTCGGACCTAGTACCATCGCAAGACCTACAGTTCCTAGGTATTCGATTCATCACAAATCGCAACCGTATTATGGTACCAGAAGACCGTTGGCTCAAGATACAACAGACCATTCCACCAGCTCTACTCTCTCCGTTACCACTGCGACAATGGCAGAGCCTACTAGGTCTTCTCACATCAGCCCAAGACATGACTGTCACAGGCAGATTACAGTTACGTCCCCTACAGGTCCTCATCAACGCACATCTCAACGATGTACAACCATTCAGTCTACCGAAACATCTCAGACCACATCTACTATGGTGGACCAAGAAATCGAATGTCTGCGAAGGGATTTGTTTAGCAGAGCAGGAATACAAAACCCATCTGTATGTAGGCAGCGTCACTCCCAAGGTTGGGAGCTCATCTCACCAACCACACGATATCAGGGTTATGGAATCAGCAAGAATGCAAACTCCATATAAACAGTCTAGAAATGAAAGCTGTAATCAACGCCATTCTACATTGGAGCACATTTCTACAAAATGCAGCCCTAATGATCCATACAGACAATTCGACAGTGGCGTTCTACATAAACAAGCAAGGCTCAACGAGATCGATGAACCTTTTGAACCTAAGCTTTCAACTGTTCGATTTAATACAAGATCTAAATCTACATGTCAGAGCAGTGCACATTCCCGAGCCAGAAATATACTAGCAGACGCTCTCTCTCGGCCTCATCTACCATCACCGACAGAGTGGATGATCAACCGGAAATTTTTGCACAGATAATCAAGCAATTAGGAGCCCGGCTAATAGACCTATTAAGCCACGATTCAACAATCAGCTACCGACATTAGTGTCACCAGTCCCAGACCCCAAGCTTGGGCAACGGACTCTTAAGTCTATCATGGGAAGGCCTCAATGCGTCGCAGCGTTTCCGCCAGCAATAATACCTCAAGTATTACAGAAAATCAGACAAACACAGAGCCTACAACTCACTTTGGTGCGCCCTACTGGCGGCCAGAACGTGGTTTCCATACTAATTCAAGAAATCGGTCAACCAACACTGGAGCTACCCAAGCGGCAAAACCTGTTAATTCATCCTCACACCAAACAAGTGCACGGAAACCCAGCAATGTTCCAACTACACGTATGGACTGTATACAAATGTGTTTAAACAAGAGGATATTCTGCCAGGGCGGCAAAAAGCAGTCACGCTTTGCTTACGTTACTCAACTCGTAACTTGTGCTGACGACAAGTGGCACAGTTTCAAAATTATGCAACAAAGAAAGGGTTTACAGCAAGAGAGGCTTCACAACCTCAAGTGGCAGACTATTTGTGTTACCTACGCCAAAACAAACATTTAAAAGGTTCAACGATATCAACATATCTTGCAGCTTAGCTCTGTAATCACCATGAGAACGGTGTCAAATTGACAAGATCTCCAGAGTTACTGGCCTTACTACGAGCTTTCCGATTGGAGGACCAAAGCGGAAGTTCCACGCTCCAGCTTGGGATCTGAATGTAGTGTTACAACACCTCACGAGTGAGGTCTATGAACCCTTGGAATCGACAAACTTTGAATTTCTCTCACAGAAAACATTGTTTCTGCTATCGCTAGCCACAGCAGCAAGAATGTCTGAAATTCACGCTCTGGATTACTGAGAGGATACAGTTTGATGACAATCATAACACAGCGCACCTCGGATTAAGATGGGATTTCATTGCAAAGAATCAACTGCCAGGTCAACCAGACAGATTATTCCACATCCCGGCGCTATCCTCTATTCTCGGATCACAAGATACACAAGACCTATCACTGTGTCCGTAAGAGCTCAAAGTTTATTTACTGACGATCCAAAACAAGGAGAAGATTTCTCAAACGTTTATTCATCCCATTATAAGCCTCTGAATCAAACAGAAGTGTCACGGACCACAATATCTATTTGGATAAGGACTGTCATTCTCCGTGCCTACAAGGCAGCAGGCTTGGACCCACCAACAGCATCAAATCCACATGAGATCAGGGCACTGGCCTCTACCCTCGCCCTACACGGTAACTGTTCCTTGAACACGATTATGGAAGGATGCTATTGGAAATCTAACATGGTATTTGCTAATCACTACCTAAGAGACATCACTACAGAAGATGTCTCTGGCATTCACCATTTCGGACCACTGGTCCTCAGCTCAGCAACTGACAGTCCCTCGTGGCTTAAAATATTAGCCTCACAAGATTAATATGTATTTTATACATACTCATCTAGCTTATAACTCTAAGGAGTTTTAGGGCTATGTATATATGTTCAGCTTAAGTATTCTACCTTAAGCATATACTTGGATATAGTCAATTTCAGTGCCTCTATCAGAGTCACCTATATATATATATATATAATTTATATGTATTGTTCAATATATTCATAATGTAATTCCTTTAATGGCTTTATATAACCTATGGTTTTCTTTATACAGGAAACATCCTAAATCTAAGGCTTCATGAAGTTCCGTGAGGGATATTACAGTATATCTATACAAAATCACTAATTATAAATCCAAAGTATTCTGTTACCCACCTCCGTTCCGTAGGATGCTACAAGCAAAAGAGCATGAGTCAGGATAAGGAAAAATATGAAATTTTAGAGTAAAATTGATATTTTATACTTATCCTGACTCATGAGGTTAGCCCTCCCATCCTCCCCACATAACACTTTGGATTTCCCTGTAAATTCAAGTGTTGGGCTCGCTAAATCAGGAGAGAGTGGAGCACATGGCCAGAGGGTGGCGACACCTTTTCCCTCCAGGGGAGACAAAGGGAGCAACTTCGTGGTGAGTACCAATTAGTGATTTTATTTTGAAGGGAGCTTCAAATAAGGAGATACAAGTGTTCCACTATGTTCGCAAGAAGAAGAAGACAAGCAAAAGAGCATGAGTCAGGATAAGTATAAAATATCAATTTTACTCTAAAAATTTCATTATTTTTTAAATATTTCACTGAATATCATGAAAAATACATCAACTGCTGAGTTGATATTTAATTCGATTCCCAATAATCCTGATATGTATCATAATTGACTCATACTGGTTTCATTGCAGCCCCAATATTGTGGTACTTTAAAGATAAACTATATGTAACATTTGTTCTTTGAAAAATAAATGGTTCAAAATTAGGTCCTTTATATAAAGAAACATTTTCCTATCCACGTTCCATATGTAAGGAAGATTTGAAATAAGAAACAGTGAAATTAACCAGCTGGTCTTTTTCAGACTTCTATTTTGGAACAAGAAAGAGAAGTATGGCAGAAGCAGACGGACAAATTAAAAAAGTCCATTAAGTGTCGAGACTCACTTCTCAAGCAGGCAGACGCACATATGTCTCAGGAAGTCGAGAAGTTGCGAGAGGAGCTCGAAGCTGCCTACCAGCAACAGCTCGAGATGGAGGTACACAAACTACAGGATCGTTACCAGTCCGAATTTAATGATTCTCTGCCAACAGGTGAACGCGAGATTGGAAAGATTCAAGTTCAGATTCAGAAAATGGCTGAAAATTTTGAAAAAGAAAGAGCTTCATATATTCGTAAAATTGAACACTTAGAAGATCAGCTGGCAGAGAAATCTCAGCAGCTTATTGACTTGGAACAGGAACAAGAACAGGAGATGAAGGAGGAATATAAGAAAGAACTTAACCGTCTCCTTCAAGAAAAAAATACTCTGATTGAGAAACTTGCATCAAAACAGTCAGAATTGGATGAACGATTGAAAGAAAATGATAAATTACTCACCTCTGTGAAAAAAATGGAGTCGGCTTATAAAAACGACATGAAATCGCAGAAAGACAAGTTTGACAATATTAATATGCGTCTGCAAAAATCAGAGAAATCATTGCAGGAAGTGATCAAAAAGAATTCTCTAGAAAAAGAGGAGTTAAAAAATGCTCTGAGTGAAAGTGAGGCTGCGATGGGGAATTTGACACAGAAGATGATGGAACGTCAGAAGACGAACACGATGACAGTGGAGGCAATGAAAAAACAACACAAGCTGGAGAAGAAGGAGTTGTTGAGGCAGTTAAAGAAACGGAGTGACCACACGATGACCAGCACTCCAGTACAGGTCTGTCTTAGTTAAAGAAAAGGAGTGACCACACGATGACCAGCACTCCAGTACAGGTCAGTCTTAGTTAAAGAAACGGAGTGACCACACGATGACCAGCACTCCAGTACAGGTCAGTCTTAGTTAAAGAAACGGGTGACCTCCACGATGACCAGCACTCCAGTACAGGTCAGTCTTAGTTAAAGCGGAGTGACCACCACGATGACCAGCACTCCAGTACAGGTCAGTCTTAGTTAAAGAAACGGAGTGACCACAGGATGACCAGCACTCCAGTACAGGTCAGTCTTAGTTAAAGAAGCACGGGTCAGTGACCACCACGATGACCAGCACTCCAGTACAGGTCAGTCTTAGTTAAAGAAACGGAGTGACCACACGATGACCAGCACTCCAGTACAGGTCAGTCTTAGTTAAAGAAACGGAGTGACCACCACGATGACCAGCACTCCAGTACAGGTCAGTTTTAGTTAAAGAAAGCGGAGTGACCACACGATGACCAGCACTCCAGTACAGGTCAGTCTTAGTTAAAGAAACGGAGTGACCACACGATGACCAGCACTCCAGTACAGGTCAGTTTTAGTTAAAGAAACGGAGTGACCACACGATGACCAGCACTCCAGTACAGGTCAGTCTTAGTTAAAGAAACGGAGTGACCACACGATGACCAGCACTCCAGTACAGGTCAGTTTTAGTTAAAGAAACGGAGTGACCACCGCGATGACCAGCACTCCAGTACAGGTCAGTTTTAGTTAAAGAAACGGGTGACCACCGCGATGACCAGCACTCCAGTACAGGTCAGTCTTAGTTAAAGAAGCGGAGTGACCACCGATGACCAGCACTCCAGTACAGGTCAGTCTTAGTTAAAGAAACGGAGTGACCACACGATGACCAGCACTCCAGTACAGGTCAGTCTTAGTTAAAGAAACGGAGTGACCACACGATGACCAGCACTCCAGTACAGGTCAGTCTTAGTTAAAGAAACGGAGTGACCACACGATGACCAGCACTCCAGTACAGGTCAGTCTTTAGTTAAAGAAACGGGTGACCACAGGATGACCAGCACTCCAGTACAGGTCAGTTTTAGTTAAAGAAACGGAGTGACCACCGCGATGACCAGCACTCCAGTACAGGTCAGTCTTAGTTAAAGAACCACGGAGTGACCACACGATGACCAGCACTCCAGTACAGGTCAGTCTTAGTTAAAGAAACGGAGTGACCACCACGATGACCAGCACTCCAGTACAGGTCAGTTTTAGTTAAAGAAACGGAGTGACCACCACGATGACCAGCACTCCAGTACAGGTCAGTTTTAGTTAAAGAAGCGGAGTGACCACACACGATGACCAGCACTCCAGTACAGGTCAGTCTTAGTTAAAGAAACGGGTCAGTGACCACCACCACGATGACCAGCACTCCAGTACAGGTCAGTCTTAGTTAAAGAAACGGAGTGACCACACGATGACCAGCACTCCAGTACAGGTCAGTTTTAGTTAAAGAAACGGAGTGACCACACGATGACCAGCACTCCAGTACAGGTCAGTCTTAGTTAAAGAAACGGAGTGACCACACGATGACCAGCACTCCAGTACAGGTCAGTCTTAGTTAAAGAAACGGAGTGACCACACGATGACCAGCACTCCAGTACAGGTCAGTCTTAGTTAAAGAAACGGAGTGACCACACGATGACCAGCACTCCAGTACAGGTCAGTCTTAGTTAAAGAAACGGAGTGACCACACGATGACCAGCACTCCAGTACAGGTCAGTCTTAGTTAAAGAAACGGAGTGACCACACGATGACCAGCACTCCAGTACAGGTCAGTTTTAGAGTTCAAGATTCAAGCACCCATGAAGATCCGCATTAGAATTGGTCTGCAGTAACCTATGCTTGTTGTAAAAGGCGACTAAAGGGATCGCGTGTCGGGCTCGCTGACATGGTCAACACATGTCATTGTATCCCAATTATGTAGGTCAATACTCATGATGTTGATCACTGGATTGTCTGATCCTGACTTGATTATTTACAGGCTGCTGCCATATAGGTGTAATATTGGCATGTCCAGCATTAACCAACAAACAAATCAAATCAAATCAAAATGCAATATGAAAGTTAGGGGAGACACGCTGGGCTGTTTTCACTAATGTTGTTGTTTTGTAATCCCACACTGCATTGGCAGATCCCTCCTTCTTCTCTTCTCCTCTCCCACCTCTCTCTCCCTCTGTCTCTCTGTCTTTTCTTCTCGTGGGTGAGATTGAAACTACTTCAACTTGTTTTTATTTCATATGAACTTTACATTCATTTGGGAAATGACTTCAAATGAGACAATTCAAGGAGAAAAAGAGTTGGTTGCAATGGACTCGCTATCACAATAGAATGTTGCAATAGACTATCGCTATCACAATAGTATGTTGCAATAGACTATCGCTATCACAAAAGTTGTTTTCTCCTCAATCATCACCCCAACATGGAACCCATGGTAGTGGACTTCCTCCGTGGTGTAGTGGTTAGAGCGTCGGCCCAGAGAGCGGAAGGTCACAGGTTCAACCCCCGGCCACGTCATACAAAAAAGACGTTAAAAAATGGTACTTGTTGGTCTCTGTCTGGCGCTCGGCATTAATGGGTACAACAAGGACTGGTTAGCTCGGAGTCAGTATAATGTGTCTGAGTGGGGTATTCATGCTTCACTGCAGCATAGTATCTCAGTGAGCTAGCACTATAAAACCAGCTTAAGTCTGGGCTAGTACAAGCAGCCACACATACACACGCATGCACATAGTCATATGAGCGAAATATTCGCAAGTACATTGTACGATGTTAAACCCCATTTCACCTCACCCATGGTGGTGACATACAAACGCTTTCACCACGATGACAATTGACAAATTAATACAAGACAAGTAGCATACCTCAAGGCTACTGCTGATAGGTACACTGGAAGTCAAAAGCAAAGCAAGAAGCTTATGGCTTTGATCCGGCACTCATGAAAGATGATTAACAAGTTAGAATCTCTGTCCATAAGATATTTGACTGTTTTTCAGACAGAAGAATCTGGATATATGATGTTGGACCTGAGATCCCAGTACTTGGACACAGTAGACAAAATTAGAGGTGAGTTATCAGGACTTGAATATCGTATTTGACGTATTTAGCAGGTGACTTCATTTTTATTTACCGTGGGTACGTTTTCTCATGGGTTCATATTTCCATATGCACCGACTTCACAAAATGGCGTCTCGTTGTTGATACATTCAAACAGTGATCGTTGGGATATAAATAAGAAAACAAACACGGGTTTCTAGAATAATGGTCAGTATGATCTTTATTAGATACTATTTTCACCAAACATACTTACGTTTTACAACCAACTGCCAGATGTATTGTGGTGTGAGCTGGCCATTGCGTAGGGTCGGCTTGTGTACGTTTTACATCCAACTGCCAGATGTCTTGTGGTGTGGGGTCGGCTTGTGTACATTTTACATCCAACTGCCAGATGTCTTGTGGTGTGGAGAATCGGCTTTGATTTGGGTGCAAAACATACCATTTTGACACTGATTTCAAGGGTCAAGTTAGGGGGTCGGCTTATCTACAGTAATATACGGTAGTAGAAATCCAAGAGGGGATAAACCAGGAAAGGGGTTGTGGCGGTAATTAGGAAAAGGATTAAGATCACAAAAAATCATCAACAGGTTTTGCAATGTACTTCCACTTTCCTCGGTGACCTATGTTGATTTCTTTGTTCAATTGTTGAGCACAATACCCTAAATATGTCAAATACGGTACACTTCCTTTTACTAATAGGGAGCAGATTGTTGCTATCAAACATAGGTGTTCCAACTAATGAAATGAATGGATTTTGAGACCAAACTGAAGGATAAGATTTAGGGTTTGCAAGATTTACAAGTGCCTGATTTAGGAAATTTACAGAAACAATATGAAATGTTTATGAAGTTTTATTGAATTAAACAAAATGCCTCTTGAAGGACTCAGCATATGAATGAAAAGTCAAAGTCAAGGTTTTACTGCCATTCAGTGGTATGAATAATCACCATAAAATTGGTCTGGCCTAATGTCCGTTTTCAATATCTTTTCACATCAATAATGTCAAAATATTCATGGTGATTATTTTTTTTCAGAGGATGTTATGCAGCATATTACCCAGACAAACCTCCGAGCTGCCGACACTGTCCGTACCGGTATCACTCGGGAAAAGCAGGTCACCGTGACCCAGCTGAAGCGATTCTACCGAGTCAGCATCCGCAAAATTCTACAGAACGAACTCATTGGGTGAGATAACTTTAAAATTAAAATAATTACAGTTTCACACACCACTCTGTTGAAAAGTTGTTTAAATAGTCCATTTCTTAAGAATTAAGGTGAATTCATTGTTCGTGGGTGATTGCAATGTATCTCCAACCTTCCTGAGGCAAAGTGTCCTGAAGGCAGTGTTCACGAATGGTGTTTCAAAGTCACAGGACATTGGGTCCTGTAAGTTTCAGATGTCTGTCTGACCCATTGAAAATGCACAGGACCCATGGGATAACATTAAACACACATTTCAGATTAATATTTCTTATAATTGACATTGAAATTATTAACAGACATAAGATTTATAAACAGCAAACAAGTGTCACATGTCACATAAAACAACTTCAGTCAAAGTCATTGTGAAATATACAGTCAGACACTGGGGCCGGCGGGTTGTAGACTTCTGTCTGACCGTTGGCAAATCTGCCGGATTTGTCAGATGGTCAGACGCTATTAGTGAACACTGTGAAGGCTGTGTCAATTTTTACCATTGCCCTTTCAAGCTAACCTTTGCTTAGAAGACATTGAGACTATCAGAAAAATCAGTAGAGGTTAAAGCTTTCGCTACTTAGCCGTAAGCCCAGGTTCAATTCCCCACATGGGTACAATGTGTGAAGCCCATTTCTGTGCCCCACCCCCCAGTGATGTTGCTGGGATATTGCTAAAAGAAGTGTAAAACCCAACTCACTCACTCACTCAGAAGTCTTGTCAGAGATATGTTTCCTGAAATTGGCGTCAAAGTGCTTGTCACATAGAACACTTGGGGTTCGATTCCCCACTTGGATATAATGTGTGAAGCCCATTTTTTGGTGTCATATAGCCAGAATAAAAGTGGCGTAAAAGCTCACTTACTCACTCACCAGTCTAGCTTCTTTGAAAGGAATGCATCACTCCTTGATCACTGTAAAGTGTTCTGATGTGAGCATATGGCAGTTGGATAGCCTAGTGGTTAAAGTGTTTGCTTGTCACGTAGAAGATGCAGGTTTTATTCCCCATAGGGGTACAATGTGTGAAGCCCATTTGTATGTACCCTGCCATATTGCCGGAATATTGCTAGAAGTTGCATAAAACTATGCTCACTCACTCACTCACTCACTCACTCACTCACTCACTCACTCCACTCACTCACCCACTCACTCACTCACTCACTCACTCACTCACTCACTCACATACATGTTCCAGGTGTCTGTATGGACCCTGGAAAGACGTGATGAATCCCAGCTCAGCTACATTTTCTGCAGGGTTACCTTCACCACTCTGGGGAAATTTTTTATAATAAATAATTATAAGTCTGAAAAGGAAGGTATTGCTTTGATGTCATGGAGGAAGTATTCTAAGTTTGTTTGATATCCCTGTCTCACGTTGTTTGTATACAGAATGCAGGTATTTAGTTCAAGTGTAAGATGTCAGTGATTTTTCTGCGTGCTTCATTTCTTCAGGGATATTCTTCAGGATGAATTGATGAAAATATTCAAATTGAATTTCAGGTCTGACTGACATAAAAACTCTTGACAAAAAGGTTTCTTTCTATAAGTAGCTTTGGTAATGGTTTTAGTCTGTGTTGACCTGTCCCCAGTCTGTGATTAGATTAAATGTTAGCGGCTCATTGTCACTGAGTCTGTTGCCATGGTTACCAGCCATGTCATTAAAATTGTGTATCTAATTCTGTGTTTGTTCATGTTTAGATGAATTTTGAAATAATGATTGATTGTATGTTATGTGTTTTGGATGTGAAAGTAGTTGATGAATGTGTTAACTTACAAACAATTGTAGTTTATGTGTGTTTGGTCCACATTTTTCTTCTATTTCAAATGAGCTTACCCTAAAGAAATGATAAAATTCTAAATTTAGAAAATGAAACACGAACTGGGTTGTTGTTGTTTTTCTTTAGTTCATGCTTATTTGCAAGAGGTTTTCTTCTTTTAACCATAATTATGTGGCCTTTGAGCAATGGTGACCAGATAAAAGAACAAAACTAGTTAAAGTTGATAAATGACATTCATAATCCTTCCCAAGGCATACCAGTAAGTACAAGCAAAAGTGGAAATGTATTAAAACAAGAAATTCCCCAAATCACGGAATGTATTTTTCTTTTAAAATGTTAATTTTGTCCTTCAGTGGAATATAACTGAATCACTTTCTTGTGTTCAACAGGGCAGACCTGGAAGGGAAACTGGCAGCCATTGACCAGGCCCTTGAGGCTATGTCAATCAGTCTCAGCAGTTCAAGGTCAAACACCCCTGACCAAGAGGTCAAGGCCACCGACCTGTCGCAGGCCAAGAGTTCAAATTCTTCAATATCTCTCGATGTGTCAAGTACCAGCAACCTGACCCCTCGCAGTGAAAGCAGCGTTACAAGCTCAGGGTCCTCGTGTCAGAATTTCCAAGTGACCTTGACCCAAGCTAATCACTCATCAGGGAATCCTGGGAGAGGAAATGATGTAAAACAGAATTCTAAAATGGTGCCAAAGAATGGAAAGGATGTGTTCCCACGTCCATCTCAAAATCTGTCTCTCTTTGATCACAATGGCTCACGTATCCTGTTAACGCCTTCACCAGTTCAATCGGAACCTGAAACAAGAGAGTTGTCTTCTGCTTCATATGGAAAAGATGATGCAAGGTCATTCAGACCTGTGGATCCTCCTGAGAGACGCACCTCGACGAGGCCCAAGTCTGGGCACGGTACCTTTCAGACTGGAAAAACATCAGAAGCTAAACCCAGAGAACTGAACAGTTATGGTAAATTATACGACAATGATGGATTCAGGAAACCAAGAGAACCTGTTCCAAAGAGAAACATAAATGAGCATCGAGGTCATAGTATTGGCACTAGTTCTCACCATGGTACAAGCGCAGGTGTTACTTCCCATCAAACTCACAGCAAAGACACTGGATCTCATCAAGCCCGTAGCTCAGAAGCTAGTTCTTATCGAGCTCATGAGAGAAACGCAGGTTCTCATCGAGCTCATAGCATAGACGCTGGTTCTAATCGAGCCCATGGCAGAGACACTGGTTCTTATCAAGAGCCTCAGCTGGTCAGAGATTCCTCTTTGCCTCCATCAGTGTCGAAGAGACATCCACAAATGTCCCTACTTCGACGCAGCATGGAGGACGAATTTTCCACGCCGAAACCCTTGCAACAATTTTCATACAAAGGTATGAGCAAAGCTCAGTCTGAGATAGCCTTGAACATGTTAGCTGACTTTGACGACAACCAGGAAGGAAGGCAGCAGGTGATGGAAAGTGCCGGAAAATCTCCTGTTCAGATCAAGTATAAATATACCCCTCTCCGACAAAGTCTGCAAGCAGGATCGCCATCCACAAGTTTAATCTCCAACCACAGTTTATCTGAAGGAGATTTGAGAATAGCAGAAACCGATGAACCAGTGCTTAACTTTCAGTCTATGGGATTAGGGAAACCTTCTCCTCGTAAATTCAACCCCGTGCCTGAAAGATTAGAAAGTGAGAGTGGATATCACACTCCAAAAAAGTCACCCAAGAATTTGTTTGGGAGCAAAATAGCTCGTTCTCTTGAGAATTTGTCAGTACTGGGTTTGACTCTTGAAGAGCAGTCACTTGAAGAAGAATTTGCTCCCTTAGCTTCACTGAAATCGGACAAGGACTCGAGTAGCTTCCGCGCATGCGAGCGTGTGGGAGAGTTTCCGGCACAGTTGGACAAGGGGAGACAAGTCAGAGACACAATGTCTGGGGAAGGGAGACAACTGAGGGAGAGACAGTCAGACATGGTTTCAACGTCCAACCAAACTAAGGGCATGACTGAGGGTGGTGATCATGTGAACAATAACCAATCAGCATTAAGAAGTACATCTCGAACAAATGGGGCCCACAGTTACCGAGATTTTCACAAGGGGAGACAACTCCAATCGTCACGAGACCACGATTCTGGCAGAGAGAGTTTTCAGACTCCACCAGTTAATGTTTCAGTGCGTGTTTCAAAGACTCGCTTGTTTGAAAAATAATTTGTGTCCTTCATTTTCAGATCTTGGTCAGTGCTCAGAAAGATGCATGTTGATGGTTTGTAAAAACAGCATGTATATTTTAACTCTTGTCACCCTACTTCTTTAGGTTCCATAAATTCTGGTCATTATTTTCCAACTTTATTGCCCAAAACAAGAGATTTTGTAAAGTCTCCAATACACGGACAACAAGAGTGGATTCTGTTTGGATAGTAACACAAACATCATTCCACTTCTGAACCGAAATTTGCGATTGCCTTTCTCTGGGTAGACTTATTGAGATATCAAAGTGCTTTGCAAAACAATGTGAAAATATTCATGCTTGTTAAAAGAAATCATGTTTCACCCTACCAGAGAAAAAGTGTTCACCATATATGGATTTGTATATTTAGCATTAGAATCAAGTCCCTTGATCACAATCTGTGTCATTTTAGCCTTGTGTCATACACTGCCGTAGACACTTGGTCTTGCTCAGTCTGTTTTGGGGGATAAAAGTATCAGGATCATTACTCATCTTGGACTAACAGACAACTGGTCATCTCTGTCCCTGATGTACATGTATATAAGAATGGGAGCAGAAAAATTTGAACATATGTTGATATTTATTTTTGCCTTATTACCTCCGTCAAATTGTGTCTTTACTCCTCAGGCCACAATGTGTGGAGCTCAGTGTTAAGCCATGAGTATTACAGGGTTTTAACTTGCCCTACCAAGGCTAGGGGCCTATAGAACCCACACTCATTCCAAAAGTGCTTATAGGAAATCCTGTAAAGTGATGAAGCAGTGAGGTGTACTTTAAGATCTAAAAAATATGTTTATAATCTAATCCAATGGTAATTTTCCTTGTCGAGAATGTGGTACATTGTATATAACTGTACATCCTTCACAATGCAGTATGAATTTTTTCTGTGAATTTTTTTTCACATTTCGTCTTCGGGTAAAAACCCTGCTAGAGCTAAAATGGTATTAAAGCTATACTTTCATCACTTGTGAAGAAAACCTGTATAGTGGAATCTGTCCATTACAAACTGGCCTGGGACCGACTCACTTGTCCAGGTTAAAAAGCAGTCCGGATTAGTCCAAATTTGTCTGTTACCATAGACATGCCATGATGTTTCACTGGTCGGTCTGACACAACTATGAAGTGAATGTGTCATTTATAGGGCTTCAAGCTGACACTGATTTAATCCTGTCACATTAAATAATGTGTGTTGATAGAATAAATTAACTACTGAGAACAGAAGTAACGGAGATGTTTATTCAATGGACTGTTATTTTCGTCTGTAATCTGTAATGGAGAGAGTCCGGATTATAAATAAGCTTTAATGATAAATTAAGAACAATTTTGCCGTGACTCAGACAGTAGTTATTGAGAAGGATTATGGAGAAAATTGGTTTACAAAGAGTCCGGATTTAACAGATTCCACTGTATTTTACAGGAAGAATATTACAGGCAGAGTAAATTATCTGTATATTTAGTACAATAATGTAAATACTGTTGTAGCTGTATGTGATATTCATACGCATTTAATGACACCGTTTTGAGGAGGAGAAATATATCAACCTTCTCAGTGAACATTTTCAACACTCAAGAATTATGTTGAAACTGAAAATTCATATTTTTATCAAGAGTTACAAATATTATGCTCAGGTTGTACATAATGATTAAAAGTGTCCCTTGGCTCGTATTGTATATATTTTATATTGAACAAATTTTATTATGAGCTAGTTAGTCATAACTTATGAATGTATAGACCATCAGATTCCGTCCAGTAAACATTATATATCTGATTATATTCAGATCTTAAATCAGTAGGATATATCTCTGCTTAAAGAACTGACAAACCCTGAAATTTTGAAATTGAAAGGTCAGGTCTGAATGGAAATTAATAAGGACTCTGCTTTATATACTCATGGAAACAAATAAGGGAACACATGAAAACAAAAGTGTTCCTATATTCTATTCCAGGCTTCTTCGCATGCGTTGTATTGCAATGTGAGTGAAATTCTGGAAATAAATAAAGGAACACTTGTACCTTCATGTGTTCCCATATTTATTTCCATGAGTATATGTTGTGTTTTAGCTGTATGGCATCTGCACTTAACAGGTTATTTGTGTTTTCTGTGAGTTTTCTATAGTTAAGAAAAGACTTTATGAAAAGTGAAAAAAAACATGAAAATAACTAATGCTGAATGGGTCTTTGTCGGCAGGGGTAATACAGATTTGTACCCCAGTTATGTTTCTGCAGAAATGTACCCCAGTTATGTTTCTGCAGAAATGTACCCCAGTTATGTTTCTGCAGAAATGTACCCCAGTTATGTTTCTGCAGAAATGTACTTCAGTTATGTTTCTGCAGAAATGTACTTCAGTTATGTTTCTGCAGAAATGTACCCCAGTTATGTTTATGCAGAAATGTACACCAGTTATGTTTATGCAGAAATGTACCCCAGTTATGTTTCTGCAGAAATGTACCCACACCAAAATCAGAATACAGAAACTTACCCTAGGGCAAGACCATTCCACACTGTGCTGTTTTCTTGAATCGAGCTGTCTGATTTAAGACTGTTGTATTAAATGCTTTTGATTGAGGTATGTAAACGAGCATACACAGTAACGAAATATTCCGGATGCACATCAGTAAAATGGGAACCATGGTTTCAGTTTTGGGCTGTGGAATATGGGCTCATCCATGTTTACGATACAGGTACATTTCTGTATTTTGAGTTTGTTTTGGGAACATTTCTGTATACAGAAACGTACATGGGGTACATATCTGTAGTAAATGTGCCATCGACCCTTTCACCATAACTCATTTTGGAAGAGACTCAAGAAGCCATGAGGGGCGGTGGGGTAGCCTAATGGTTAAAGCGTTGGCTCGTCACGTCGAAGACCCGGGTTCGAATCCCCACATGGGTACAATGTGTGAAGCCCATTTCTTATGTCCCCCACTGTGATATTGCTAAAAGCGGGGTAAAACCAAACTCAGTCAGTCAGTCAGTCAAGAAGCCATGCATCCTACAGACTTGCCCACACATGACCTCTGTGGTCAGCTTTTACAGAGTTTTCTTGGGTAGGAGTGAAAGATCTGATTTAGGTAGATTATCCATTTGAAGATCTGATGTTTGTTCTACAGGAACAATAATACTGTAGACCCTAGATATATTTGCATGTATATTATTGGTTCTCTACATGCTAATCCTTCTGGAACTTTTTTTAATACTTTTACTTGATAAGCGATCTGTGTATGTTTCATACACATATATGATGTTATTCTGTCTGTAATTTCAATGTCTCTCGTTATACTGTCAATAAAATATTTTATAAAACAACAGATTTTGTTTCATATTTTCAAGATGGGTCAGTTCAGGAATGTACTAAAGTGTGTTTTGGTCATGGAATCATTTAGATGTTACATTTTCTACTGACAGCCAATTGGGTAGCCATGCTCTTAAGATGCAACAGAGTGGTGGGGTAGCCTTGTTGTTAAGATGCAACAGAGTGGTGGGGTAGCCTTGTTGTTAAGATGCAACAGGGTGATGGGGTAGCCATGTTGTTAAGATGCAACAGGGTGGTTGAGTAGCCATGATGTTAAGATGATGAAACAGGGTGGTGGGGTAGCCATGTTAAGATGCAACAGGGTGGTGGGGTAGCCATGTTAAGATGCAACAGGGTGGTGGGGTAGCCATGTTGTTAAGATGCAACAGGGTGGTGGGGTAGCCATGATGTTAAGATGCAACAGGGTGGTGGGGTAGCCATGTTGTTAAGATGCAACAGGGGGTGGTTGAGTAGCCATGATGTTAAGATGCAACAGGGTGGTGGGGCACAGTCAAGATGGGGTGGGTGTCCTTGTTGTTAAGATGCAACAGGGTGGTGGGGTAGCCATGTTGTTAAGATGCAACAGGGTGGTGGGGTAGCCATGTTGTTAAGATGCAACAGGGTGGTGGGGTAGCCTTGTTAAGATGCAACAGGGTGGTGGGGTAGCCTTGGTGTCAAGATGCAACAGGGTAGCCTTGTCAAGATGCAACAGGGTGGTGGTGTAGCCTTGTTAAGATGCAACAGGGTGGTAGGGTAGCCATGCTGTCAAGATGCAACAGGGTGGTGGGGTAGCCATGCTGTCAAGATGCAACAGGGTAGCCTTGTTGTCAAGATGCAACAGGGTGGTGGGGTAGCCATGCTGTCAGGATGCAACAGGGTGGTGTTGTTAAGATGCAACAGGGTGGTGGGGTAGCCATGATGTTAAGATGCAACAGGGTGGTGGGGTAGCCATTGTTGTTAAGATGCAACAGGGTGGTGGGGTAGCCATGTTGTTAAGATGCAACAGGGTGGTGGGGTAGCCATGTTGTTAAGGTGCAACAGGGTGGTAGGGTAGCTAGTAGCGTTTGCGCACCACATTTAAAGCACTGACTGGTTTGTCTCCCTGCATTGATACAAGGTGTGAAGCTCAGTGACTAGTAGAGCTCGAATATTGTGCAGAACAAACTGGGCATGCACACAAAGAAAGAGCGAGTGAGTGAGTGAGTTTAGTTTTACGCCGCACTCAGCAATATCCCAGCTATATGGCGGCGGTCTGTAAATAATCGAGTCTGGACCAGACAATCCAGTGATCAACAGCATGAGCATCGATCTGCGCAACTGGGAACCGATGACATGTGTCAACCAAGTCAGCGAAACTGACCACCCGATCCCGTTAGTCGCCTTTTACGACAAGCATAGTCGCCTTTTATGGCAAGCACATGGGTTGCTGAGGACCTATTCTACCCCGGATCTTCACGGGTCCACAAAGAAAGAAAATAAACAGAAAGAAAACAACAAACAAACCACGATAATCTAACTTTATATCACCAGCCAATAAATAGATGTCTGGTCTAGACAATCAAGTGATCTACATAAACTACGAGTGTAGAATCAAACAGAACGTGTTTCACACAGTTCTATTTACGCTAGAGTTATTGAGCAAGTATGTTTTTACGCCGCTCTTAGCAATATTCCAGCAATATCACGGCGGGGGGCACCAGAATGTGGGCTCCACATATTATACCCTTCAGCGTGACAAGCGGAATCTGTAACCGTTAGGCTACCCTACCGCCCCAAGTTACGCAAGAAAAACTTAACTGTAGTAGTTGCTGTTTGGCTGGTTGTGACTGGACTGGTTCGCAGTCCCCTTACTTATCCCCACTGAATGGACAGGGTAGCCGCTAGTCTCTGTCCATATCTGTGGCCTACTTATATACCTCTTCTAAAACACCATGTACCCATTTGACAATGCATATAACATATGTCTGGGGCGGTAGCCTGGTGTTTAAAGCATTCGCTTGTCAAGCGGACGATGGGTTCTGGCCACTTGGGTATATGTGTTAAGCCCATTTTTTATGTTCCCGCTTAGTTCCCTGCATTTATATTCCTCTAATATGGCTAAAAGCAGTGTAAAACCAATATCTATATTTGTATGGGCCACATTGCCCCAAAATGCATGCTGTAAAATAGAAGACACATGTGCGTAATTCCACCAAATATCTTTCCATTCCGTCATTATACAAGCCCATGAGCCTGCAGAACAATGTATAGCTTCGGCTACGTTTCCGTAAAGATGCATAAACATATCAAAGCTTAAGGTATCATTGCTGTATAAACGAAAAACAAATTACACTAACATTTAGAGCAATTATCCAATAATCTTTGTGCCAAATTTGAATGTTCAGTGTTGTGCTGTTTTCGAGCTTTCATCCTTTCATATATCCCCCAGTATCTACAACCTCGATAGTCAATGTGAATACCATGAACAAAACGTATCCTTTTCAGATTAGTAGGTTACGCTTAGACAACCAAGGTGCCTGGAGATGGGTTACACACTATAACTATAACATGTGGGCGCTCTTCTGAAATGACCGCCTCCATGGTGTAGTGGAGAGCGGCAGGTCGCGGGTTCGATCCCCGACCGCGTCATATATCCAAAAGACGTTAAAATATGGTACTTGTTGGTCCCTGCCTGGCGCTCGGCATTAATGGGTACAACAAGGACTGGTCGGCTCGGAGTCAGTATAATGTGTCTGAGTGGGATATTCATGCTTCACTGTGGCATGGTATCTCAGTGGGCTAGCACTATAAAACCAGCTTAAGTCTGGGTTAGTACAAGCAGCCGCACATACACATACACGCGCATGCACGTCGTCATATTAGCGAAATATTCTCAAGCACGACGTTAAACCCAATTTCACCTCACCTCGCCTCGCCACGCCACGCCACGCCACGCCACGCCACGCCACGCCACGCCACGCCTCGCCTCGCCTCGCCTCGCCACGCCACGCCACGCCTCGCCTCGCCTCGCCTCGCCTCGCCTCGCCTCACCTCACCTCACCTCCTAGAGTTGCAACGAGTCCACTGTGAGGTCGATATGAGACATATCACATATAAGGTAACGAATACGAATATTGAGTAAAGAATACAATAACAGTCAGACGTTTATGTAATATTCAAAATATTCATAGTGAAAGAATTCCTATCACCCCTGCCTATACCCAATTTAATTTTCTAGCTAATTCACTTTCATATTGTTTTTCGATATAATGAATGTTTTAAGTAATCTATATTGACACATCTCTCTATTGATTTTAGAGGCTGGAACGATCGGAAGCGTTGCCATTCAGTGAAACAACTTAATACATTCTCCGAATGCAGTAACACGACTAACGGGATCGGGCGGTCAGGCTCAATAACTTGGTTGACACATGTTATCGTTTCCCTGATCACTGGATTGTCTGGTCCAGATTCGATAATTTACAGACCGCCGCCATATAGCTGGAATATTGCTGAATGCGGCGTAAAACTAAAACTCGAACACAGTAACAAGTGAGCAGTTGATGTTTTATTCAACAAAAAGAGTGAAACAGTTACAAATAAATATTGGACATGTTATGACCATGTTGACAGCATTAATATAGCACGAGTGATAGCTCGTCAATTTTGGTCGGTCTGATTAAAGGGACAGAAGCTCATTACAGAAACGACGTAAATGAGTTTGTACACTGGTGTAATGACAACTACCTGCAATTAAATATTGCGAAAACAAAGGAACCCATCGTGGATTTTAAAAACCAACAAAGTGACACTGTGCCTATTGATACCAAGGGTGAAACTGTCGAAATTGTAAAATAGTACTTACAAATATCTTGGCACTATTTTCGACAATAAACTACAGTGGGGTCCTAACACTGATTTTATTTTTACTGACTGACTGAGTTTGGTTTTACGCCGCTTTTAGCAATATTCCAGCAACATCACGGCGGGGGACACCAGAAATGGGCTTCTGACATTGTGCCCATGTGGGGATTCGAACCCGGGTCTTCGGCGTGACGAGCCAAGGCTTTAACCACTAGGCTACCCCACCGACCGATTTTATTTTTAAGAAATGCCAGCAAAGATTGTATTTTATGCACAAGCTGAGATCTTTTAACATAAGCAAAAAGGTGATGCTGTCGTTTTATCGTTGTTTTGTTGAAAGTATTTCAACTTTTTTCAATTCAGTGCTGGTATGGCTCTCTTAATATCAAAAGCATATCTTATCTTAACAAAATCATTTTAATTGCAAGTAAAATCCCTGGGGTGTCTGTTTCTTATTTATATCTTCTCTTTTTAATTCCCGTGTTCTTAACCTCGCTGAGAGAATTTTATCTGATTCAAGCCATGTTATATTTTCTGAATATAATCTTTTACCTCTAGGCCGTCAATACCAAATGCCCCATTTTAAAACAAAAAGAGTTCAAAATTATTTCATACCAGCCTTTTCAATGACTGTTAACTTTGTCTGTCTATTTATAGTGTTGTTTTGTGTTTTCTTAACTTTATGGGGGCAGTGGGGTAGCCTAATGGTTAAAGCGTACGGGCACAATGTGTGAAGCCCATTTCTGGTGTCCACCGCCGTGATGTTGCTGGAATATTGCTAAAAGCGGCGCGGAGAGTTCCTTCCGTTCCCCCAACTCTAAACCAAACTCTAAACCTAACCCTAAACCTAACCCGAAACCTAACCCTAAACCTAGCCCTAAACCTAGCCCTAACTTAAATTTTGGACTTTTAATCATTTTGTGAGTTCTCTAGTAATTGTTGTGTTAAGTTTTGTTTATAATTCTAGAATATTTATACATATTATTTGGGATGGGGGAACGGGAGGAACTCTTACCAAAGCGGCGTAAAACCAAACTCAGTCAGTCAGTCTTAACCTTTATGTCATTTTTAATATTTAATTATGTCACCACTTTCAAATGTAAAAAGAATTCCCCTTGGGGTAATAGGGCATTATCATTGTCAACCACAACTTGGCACAAGACTACGATGCGCGGAAAGAGTAAAATAATTACGGTCGTCTCCAACATTGATCGCGGTGTCACAGAAACATTTCCAGTGTTAATGTACGTGCATGTACGTGCATGTTGCACTTGTTACATACCAGGTTTCGTCATTTCTGCTTCCATTCACAGCGTCTGCTCTGGATTAACGCGCATCAAAAACTCGTGCAACGGAAGTGAGCCCTGATTGGTTCAGCTCGTATCTATGACATCACGTGACAATACCCGCGAACACCTGCATGAAATATACAACGCCACCAACTTGATTGGCATTTGTTGCAGTGAAAGTCTGCAACGACGAACCCAAATGACGTCTCCGACATGACATGTTAGCGGGCTGCCAACATACGGAAGAGTTTATTCTTAAAAACGCAAAAGAGTACAAAAATGGCATAGAGACATAACATATATATCTAACAATTAGGGGACATGGTTATGTTATGTAAATCCTCGAATTATGTTATTATATTTTACTTTTCTTTACTTCTTTAAATATTATGTTTATAAACTAGATAAATAATTAGATAACCGAATTGGTCTCCAGTAACCCATGCTTGTCGTAAGAGGCGACTGACGGGTCGGGTGGTCTAGCTCGATGACTTGGTTGACACATGTCATACATACATCGATGCTCATGTTGTTGATCACTGGATCTTTTGGTCCAGACTCGACCACCGCCATTTAGCAGGAATATTGCTGAGTGCGACATTAAACAACGACAGAAATCTTTGAGAAACGGGGAGGATCCCTGAATAGAACGGACAGTGACATAACACACTATCAGGCCAGGTTGAGAACAGAACGGTATATGACCCATGAACTCCGTATCACGTGACCTCAGGTTCGGGTTACGGATAGAAGCCACTCTCCTACCCAGAGTTCCATGCGGCAAGCCAGCATAGTACCTCTGCCACAGGCCAGAAAAATGTGACAATTCGTCACATCTTGCACCGTCCATTCAATATAATGTACAGATTTCTTTTACTCTTTCATTTTTGACGAGTCTACACATCTAACTAAACATCTTTAATAGAATTAATTAGTTTCACTGAGAAAATATCCAAAAACATGAAACACTATTTCGATTTGCGTAGCGATCCTTTGTTTACATAGGTTGTACGGCTCCACGTGCTGTCATCGAAGCCGATGGAGAGCAAACGATGCAGCCAGTTTGATATCTAAACATGTACTGTCATAGACCTAACTGTCGCAGTTGTGGAAGAATATATATGTAACAATGTAAAACATTATGAAGAGAGCGCCGAAAAGCTTTCGTGAGTCCAGTCTCTTCTTATTATGAATATGCGCGTTTGATTACAAACAAGAGAAAAGTCCGGTCACGTGATATGCAAATTAGCCTGTGGCAGTGATGTTATGTTAAGTCATCGCTGTGCCGGAGTGTGGGATAGAAGCGTGGATGAGATGGAAACGATACTGTTAACGACTGTTTGCCAACGGCTTTGCAGACTTATAACGACAATGGACACGTTGATATGATTAACCTTTACCTGGATATTTAACCTTTATCCCATGTTCACGAGGTGTAGTGTTAAGATAAACACGTGGTCAGAAGACATGACACGTGAGAACATCAGCATGATACACAAGTTTATGTTTAAATAGTGGGACATGTAACTTAACTAGGTGATAATCAAGACCCAAGGCGCAACACAAGACACACTACAGCCATGGCGTTGAGACTGTGTGTACTTGCTCTGCTGCTGGCGACAGTGAACGCCTGTTGTTCCCCCTTGCAATGGGAGATGAGAGGCGGGACGGTGTCCGGCCGGGTGGCCGTAGATGACCTCAGACTGACCGAGGTTAGAGACACTTATAGTGGAAGTGGCTGTTGGTTTACGCCGCACTCAGCAATATTCTAGCGGTCACTAAGCCAAGCTATGAACGGACGGTATTTTTTGTTGCACTCGTCAATATTCCAGATATGTTACTGCGGTGGGCGGTGGGGTAGCCTAATTGTTAAAGCGTTGGCTCGTCACGCCGAAGACCCGGGTTCGATTCCCCACATGGGCACAATGTGTGAAGCCCATTTCTGGTGTCCCCGCCGTGATATAGCTGGAATATTGCTAAAGGCGGCGTAAAACTAAACTCAGTCAGTCAGTCAGTTACTGCGTTGGTGTCTGTTCGAGCCTGGAATTTGTCCAAAGGAACAGAAAGAACTTGACATTTGGGAAAGATGACAAACGTTCAGCCACGTCGCACAATGTAACCCCTGAAAGCACGTGTTCCTTGGGAAAATGTGTTGTACCAATGGCGAGGCGTGAAAAACACCCTGGTTTTAGTGTATTTAAATTCTAGTTATGGTGCGAGTGAGTGAGTATGGTTTTACACCGCTTTTTCTTGAGCAATATTCCAGCAATATCACGGTGGAGTACACCAGAAATGGGCTTCACACATTGTAGCTATGTGGGGAATAGAACCAAGGTCATCGGTGTAAGGAGCGAACGCTTTATCCACTAGGCTACCCTACCGCCCCATTATCGTGAGAGAGTGTGTTGATGTAGCTCTTTGCCGTATTTACCGTTATCCCATCACTATGGTACTGGCAATCTTGGAAATAAAATTCGAATAGTATTCGAACTCACACTCACAGGTTCCTGGCGTGCACAAGGTAACCCAACTCTGCAGCGAGTTGATGTGCAGGGTTATGTCCCTTAGTCGTTCAAGGATCCGCTGATCGTGATTTCAAATCCAAGATTCGTACCGATTGTGATCAATCAGCACAAAATACCCGTTACCAACTGACAATTGTGAAGCAGTGATATCAGGGAGTGAGTTTAGCTTCCAGCAATATCACGGCGGGGGACAATCGAACCTGTGCCTACGGCTTGACGAGCGAATGCTTTAAGCTCTGATCTACTCCAAGCCCTCCCAACCCCCGAACGTGTAACTGATACCAAACAATAAAACCTTTTTGCTATTTTGTGCATATTTTTCAGAAATTATAAATTGTCGTTTTAGTTCCACTATGATCTTCACTACGACGCCATCAACCTGAAAGTCGCCATGAGGAGCGAGTACGTCACATCGGACGTCAGGAATATGACCATCATGGATTATAAAGCAGTATGTATGAACGTCGGCTTGTATGCCTCACCATCCTGAAATGGCATATCAATCCTAAATGTAAACGAATACATTCTGTTTTGATGAAAATGAATATAAGCTCGCGAATGAATATTGCAAATATATCTACTTCATACGAGTGAGTGAGTGAGTGAGAGTGAGTATGGTTTTACGCCGCTTTTAGCAATGTTCCAGCAACATCACGACGTAGAACACCAGAAATGGGGTCCACACATTGTACCCATGTCGGGAATCGAACCTAGGTCTTCGGCGTGACGAACGGACGCTTAAGCACGAGGCTACAACACCGTCCCTACTTTATACGAAGTACCTTTATATCAAATGACATGTTGTTTTTTCTTTAAATGAATCGAAACATCTGATGGTAGAAAATAGTTGCTTTTACTGTCCTTCGTTATTTATATTCTTGATTTATGTGTCATGAATGTATAGCTTGTTTTAGTCACTATATGGCTGAAATACTACCGGTGTGACTAAACATCTAAACTCACTCACTCACCTGTGAAATAAAAAGGTGACCCATCATGCTATTGTTGACTGTGGAGGGTGCCAAGCGCACCTTAAAGCCTACTCCTGTTTCTGTGGACGCTCATGGTGTCCATAAACCAGATTTATTCCCAAGCAACACACTTTGTTCTATATGGGAATGTCTGGGACATAAAGTAACATATGTGAGGTTTCTTTTGTTGTTTAGTATATTACCAACAATATCGCTTCTCACTTACATGCTTCCATCTATAGCCAGTGGCCTAGTGGTTACTGCGTTCGCTCGTCACGCTGAAGACCTGAGTTTGATTCCCCACATGGGCACCATGAGTAAAGCCCATTTCTGGCCTAAAGGCATACTCACTTACGCCATGTTCAGCCGTTCTCTTACATCTTTCCTTCAGTACATAACAATGTTATATTTCTTCGTCTTTTTGCGCCAAGTTAATGATCTGGCGAACATACAGTTCACGATGTTGTTTGTCTTTTTTTTGCACAGGAACGGATTTACCAGATAAACCAGGTCACAGGATCCTGTGAAATTCGAACCCTTGATGTGCCGTTCGAGCCCGCGTGCACTCCAGGTGAGCCATCATGTTTAAAAACCAATTACATATACCAGTAGTAACTAATTTATTATTTGCGTTATATCAATTCATATTTTCAACATTTACCAAGAGTTCCATGTGCACAATTAACACCGCACCATGGCTATGCCGGCATTCTACGTTTGTTACTAAAGTTCTTACATAAATCGTACGATATGTCCGCCTCTTCCACCTAATTCACTTTTATATCGATAGTACTCTACATCACGCAGATAAATGCAATTTGCAGTTTTGAACACTGTTTGAAATTCGTTTTTCTATGATAGCATCCGCTGATTGTAGATAAAATTTACTGAAAATTACATGCATCGTAAAATCTCGCCAGTTTTGACACATTACTAAATCACCATTCACTGCGTTTTGCGTAATTTATGGTAAAATGTCAAATTTTACTGGGAGAATTGAATTTAAAAGAGAAAAGATGTATCATTGTGATCAGCAATAGTTTTGTTGTTGTATGATCGAATCACCAATGCTCGTTCTGAAACATTATCAATGAACCGAGAATCGCTGAGAATGTTTTGAAAAATACGCAAACGTCAAAGTGAAGTTTTCAGCCATATTACATAGTGTTTATAAAATCACGTCACATGTATGTCGGTTATGTTTCGTCCATAAAATTCAACACCATCTTCCTTACCATGAATCCTGAATTCCTCATACAGTTCAAAAAAGAAACTGACAAATGGACTTTGTCACCACCAGGAAGTGTTTCAGTGAAATCTAACGAAATATATCGAAGATATGAGTTGCCGCGCTGTGAAAGAATACTTGTTTGAAATGTATACAAAGCCAATCTCAGATTTTACACTTTGTATCCGTTCGCCTACTTGTTGCATACAATTGCTCATTAGTTTTAGAACATGCATGGGAAAGGTATCGTAGCAAGCGATAGTTAAATAAAACAGGTGTATGCCAATGATTTTCTAGATACATCACAACATATTATAGTTTTTGAAAGCATGACGCCATAACTGACGCAAACTCACGCACAACGATGACGGTACTTCTCTTAATTTCTGACTATTTCCCTTGGTCACAATGAAAACAAAAAGAAAATAACAACCAGCAGACTGTCAGAAGTTTCGGACTACTTACATGTCACATTTATGCATATACGTTGCTTGAAACAACGAAAATGTCCTTCGAAAATTCGTGTCAGTGAACACGCCATTTTGCAAAAGTCGCTTCCCGATAGTGATGTCATACGGACGTCAACATTGTTATACATATTTGGTATTTTCATTGAGGCGAGGTTATGAATGAAAATACACACGACCAATCCGTCCTGCTGCTTACATTTTCTGTTCTTATGCTTCTTCGTATTTTCACGAACTTTTTTTCACGTGATTAATATCAGTATTATTATCTTTTGATTTGGGACTAGACAGGAGACCAGTTTAAATTCAAGTGGCACCAATTACGTCATAATCAAAGGGCGGTAACTCTGGCCTATTTAGCTCGGCAAAAAAATACCTCATATTGGCATAACATTTCAGCGCTTATTTTGAGGGTTATACTTACGTTGTAAAAAAAATGAGTGTATATTTTCAAACATTGGTATTAACTTATTAAAACAGTTCACTTTGATTCACATAAGAATAAATGTGATTTATTCGTGTACACTTGCCCTTTAAACTTTGCATGTAACCTCACACATATAGCAATTATACCTTTTGTGTTTATACATATTCCATAATTTTAGAACGAATGGTCATAAAGGTTTTACCAACAAAGTATTTCAAACTGAGATCTGCATATGTATGACCCGTGAAGGTCCGGGTTAGAATATTGATCTTTAGTAACCCATGTTTGTCGTAAGAGGCGACTAACGGGATCGGGTGGTCAGGCTCACTAACTTGGTTGACACATGTCATCGGTTCCCAGTTGCGCAGATCGATGCTCATGCTGTTGATCACTGGATTGTCTAGTCCAGACTCGATTATTTACAGACCGCCGCCACATAGTTGAAATATTGCTGAGTGCGGCGTAAAACTAAACTTACTCACTCACTCACTCACTTGCATATGTATAATTATAGCTCGTCACAGGACAATAGGATGTGCAGAGAATAGTAGCTCATCACGGAAAGTAGCTTCTCAACGAATAGCTGTTTTTCATGCAATGATTTACTTGTCAGAGGATAGTAGCTAGCAATACGATGATACCTGCTCAGGGAATAGTAGCAAAAGACAACAGTAGCCTTTCATACAATAGAATATTGTTACTGGACAGAGGCTTGTCTTGGAACATCAACTTGTTTCAGGATAGTTGCCTGGTACAGGACGGTGTTTTGTCATAGGATATAAGGTTGACATGGAATATTAGTTTGTCGTGGGGTACAAGCTTGTTAGCAGATTTTCATAGAATGGTAGCTTGCCACGCCATCTTGGGCCATAGTGACCACGCCATAGTAGCCTGTCCATAGAACTTTCTGGTTTAGTTTTTTACCCTGTCATATAATTTATAGTGAAAGTCAGATCTAGGTTACAATTGATCTTCAGTAGCCCATGCTTGTCGTAAGAGGCCACTAACGGGATCGGGTGGTCACGCTCGCTGTCTTGGTTGACACATGTCATCGGTTCCTAATTGCGTATATCGATGCTCATGCTGTTGATCATTGGATTGTCTGGTCCAGACCCCATTATTTACAGACCGCAGACATATAGCTGGAATATTTCTGTATGGGACATTAAGCAAGAAATAAACAAATCCGTAATGACAAAATAAATGATTGTACAAAAGTGGATTCCTAAACATTTATGGGTCTGTCGGTGACATCTTATCTCAGGCGGTGGGGTAGGGTAGCCCAGTGGTAAAAGTGTTCGCTCATCACGCCGAAGATCCGGGTTCGATTCCCCACATGGGTACAATGGCGTTGAGACTGTGTGTACTTGCTCTGCTGCTGGCGACAGTGAACGCCTGTTGTTCCCCCTTGCAATGGGAGATGAGAGGCGGGACGGTGTCCGGCCGGGTGGCCGTAGATGACCTCAGACTGACCGAGGTTAGAGACACTTGTAGTGGAAGTGGCTGTTGGTTTACGCCGCACTCGGCAATATTCTAGCGGTCACTAAGCCAAGCTATGAACGGACGGTATTTTTGTTTCACGGTGGGCGGTAGGGTAGCCTAGTGGTTAAAGTGTTCGCTCGTCACGCCGAAGATCCGGGTTCGATTCCCCACATGGGTACAATGTGTGAAGCCTATTTCTGATGTCCCCAACCGTGATATTGCTGGAATATTGCTAAAAGCGGCGTAAATCTAAACTCAATCACTCACTCATCCCAGGCACTACTCCGTTTTCATTTCAGATGATGCTACAGTGAATGATCACTTTTTCGTCGGAGGCGGCGACCAGGAACGCCTTCAGGCGGCTTCGTTCATGTACGTCCGGCCAGAAGACGGGTTACGTGACGGTCACAGAAGGGGACAGTCCGGACTCTACATGTGTGCCCATTCTTGCTTTCGATTTTAACCGTAGGTATTATTTGATACGTAGTTGAAACGCTTTTTAAACTTTGGTTTTCAGAAACCACTGAAACGGCATTTCTAACCTCTCTTTACCCTGTATCTAACTCTTGAAGTGTAAAAGACGGAAGTGTTTTAATCAAGTGTGAAAAGACAAAACTTAGGCGCAAAATATGTATTTAAAACCTAGTAACACTTCAATATAGTGAGTGAGTGAGTTTAGTTTTACGCCGCACTCAACAATATTCCAGCTATATGGCGGCGGTCTGTAAATAATCGAGTCTGGACCAGACAATCTAGTGATCAACAGCATGAACATCGATCTGCGCATTTGGGATACGATGACATCACTTCAATATAATTCATGTTTCAATCGTATTTTTTTATTTTTCGATTCAGTAGATGATGTGACATAACGGGATATGTTTGCAAAAGTATGGTATATGCATGATTATACACTAGATACCTAAGTCTAGGCAGTAAGTGGGGATGCATGTGGATGGTGGTGAAATTAGAGGGCTTCTTGTGCCCCGTTTATTGTGGTCTTCATTTGCTCACCCACCCAAGCCTCACTGACACACTGAAACCTCTTATAGAGATCATCATTCACTCACTCACCCAAACCTTACTCACTCATTCACTTAAACCTCTTATCGGGGTCTTCATTCACTCACTCACCCACCCAAACCTTACTCACTCATTCACTTAAACCTCTTATTGGGGTATCCATTCACTCACTGACCCAAACCTTACTCACTCATTCACTTATACCTCTTATCGGGGTCTTCATTCACTCACTCACCCAAACCTTACTCACTCATTCAATCAAACATCTTATCGGGGTCTTTATTCACTCACCCACCAAACAGCCCACCCAAAACCCATTCACTGGTACATTCCAAAACCTAGTCACTCAATCACTCACTCACTGACTCAGGTCCCATTCACTAGTCATCCACAACTCACTCACTCACTACAACGCGTATCGGAGAGTTGACCCACTCACTCACTCACGTGCCCATTTGTTACAGTGTCGGAGACGACATTCATGGTGTTCAGGGACATCATGGACGGTATTGCCGACCCCAGCATCTTCAACCCTCCTGACAGCTGCGTCTTCGCAAAGGAGGTAGTGTACTTCTTTCTAAGACATATAAGTATTTCACGTTATTTGTAGGGCTGGCTATCGATATAGGCCATTGAGAACGATAATCGTTAACAAAATATCGATCGATTATCGGAAACGTAACTTTGAGCAAAAGGTCATGAGAGAAATGAATATAGTTGGTGGATGGTGACATGTTTTTGCATGGATTAACAAAACAGCGTCCTGGATATAATTTAGAAGCAGACCACGAATAAAATCCCCAACTTTTTTCTGTCACAAAATTTAATATACGATATTATCGATAACACAATGTTCATATAGATAATCATGAAATTATTTTTCCTATCGAGTATCGACGATATTTCCGATAATCGATCATTTGGCCAGCCCTAGTTATTAGACTGACTCCCTGTGAGCCATGGCCTACTTAGGTCCACCGTCAATTCTCTACGTGTGTGGTCCTTATTAGCCGTTAAATTGTTATTAATATGTGTTTGAATACTTGTCAGAAGTGATCAGGTGTCAGGTGGTCAGGTTGATGTATGTCATCGTATCCAAACTGGTAGATCAATGGTCTGTACTGTCTGGTCCAGACTCGACTAACTGCAGACCGTCGTCATATATTTATAGCTAAAATACATGGAATTATCATGAAACGGCCCGCACATTATCAGAAATTTGCGGTCCGCTGCAAATGATATTGGACCGCTCAACCTTAACGACGGGCCACTATCAGTTCAGTGACGTCATAGTTCGACATTAATTGGCTTTCGACTGGCAGATATTCTGGGTCAAACAAGTCAAAGCAACCCAAATTCCCGCTTTAAATAGCAGTAATATTGGCTTTCTTGTTGGTGCTAACCTTAACAATTGCACTATTAAGGCTGTTGATGGACCAAAACCGAGCACTGTCATGGTTTGACAGGTTACAGGCTATGGTCTTGTCAAAGGCCAAGGTTGAATATCGTCACTTTCTGTTGTGACGACACTTGAATTTGTTCGATGACGTAATTGCATTCGGGCAGTCAAGCCCGTCAGAAGTTGATTTGGGTAAACTTACAGTCCGATTCCTTCATTGTTTCCTTTTTCTTTTCAACACAAATTCCATGTATTTTAGCAATAATAACGGTAATGCTATTTTTGAGGGCATTATCATTTGCAGAAGCCCTCGGTCTTTTTCAACTGCCCTCCTTCGTCGGGCAGTTAATGGAAGACCTCGGGCTTCTGCAAATGATAATGCCCTCAAAAATAGCATTACCCTTATAATAGTAGCTGGCAAATTGCTCAGTGCAGCATTATACAAGCAGCTAACGAAAAAGATCATTTTTTGAAGGTTATTATCAGAGATTCTGTATTCCCAAACAAAACTTCTGGCTACTTCTGGCTAGCTATTCTCGAAACTTCGTAAGCCCTACGAACTTCTTAAGCCCATTCTTAACACATTGGCTATGATCAAAGTTAAGATGATGATGATGATATGGAGTTTTAACGTGCCCTTTCCGACATAATGTGTATTTTGCACACTGTAAGGGCTGGTCTGTGGGAGTTTATATACTGTATCTGAGTGATGTATCCATGTTAAATAGACACAATAATCTTGAACGCTACAATTTATCTAATCATTATACATGTTATTTTTTTAGTTTTTGTGGTATTTTGTATATTTTGTGTTAGTTTTTATGTTTTTGTGGTATTTTGTATATTTTTTGTTAGTTTGTATGTTTGTGTGGTATTTTGTACATTTTGTGCTAGTTTGTATGTTTTTGTGATATTTTGAATATTATTATTGTGTTCCAGACACCCCTGAGACAAAAGATGGACGGGCATCCTTTTCTCCGGTTCCCTGTAACCTATCAACATTAAACAGTATTCAACCATTTCCAAATTCAAAATACGAGTCAATTTTTATTCACGAAAAGAAACCTAAAACTGAAGTGTTGTCTGTTGATGCAAAGTGAGGTACACGGAGGGTGTGACGTACTTACCCTTCTTGCAGACACGGGGTGTCTTCGTTGTGTTACTTACTGTAGGAGCGCACATAACTACACACATTCAATGCCAAACAATCAACTCATACTGAAACATGACAAATTAGGGCTAAATCATACAAGTGAGTGAGTGAGTATTGTTTTACGACGCTTTTAGCGATATTGCAGCAATATCACCGCGGGGGATACCAGAAATGGGCTTCACACATTGTACCAATGTGGGGAATCGAACCCGGGCCTTCGGCGTGACGAGTGAACGCTTTAACCAGTAGGCTACCCCACCGTCCCTATACTTTGTACAAAGTGGTTATACCATAGGTTAGTGAGATGAATATCTGATATACTCATAATTTTTCTCAGACCCTATTACAAAAGTAAGTCAACTTACGAATGCGCTGTATTTGTCTTAGTTGATTCAGGCCATGAGCCAGACAATTTTATGTTTTTTAAAGTTGTTATGGTCTCTACATATAAAAAATGTATGATGGTCATGTCAGTTTGGTAGCTCAAACTCAGAACGAGGCTAAATCCAAGATGGCCGCAAAAAAAACCCAAAACTTTTTTAAAATGTCAATTCCAAGCACTAATCGTGAGTAAAGTTCAACAAATAGGTTTGAAATGAAAAAAGGGAGGTAAAATAGTGCTAAAAAGATACCTTGATATAAAAGATATGTGGCATTGGAAGTGTACCAGCAGAGTAAGTTAGCCGGGGGTCAAAGAACAGCCTAGTTCACTGTAACGTTGCTTCAGGACACATGATACGACAGTGGAGACGGCTTCTTGCTTCATCAGAAAGCTGCGGCGTTTGGTCCAAGCATTTGCAAGACCCTTCCCAACACGCATACACTGTATGTGATACTGTCAGTTCTTTTTTAGGCAGAAGGAAGGTCAATGCATGCAAACTTCTTGTCAACAGCAAGGAATATCAAGAGGCTTTCCAACAACTTGTGAATGAATGGACTGTGCCACCAGGTTTGATTGACTCACTTCAAGCATTCACATGCCGCCTGTATGCCTTATGTTCCCAAATAAGGGATGTCCATCAATTGTGCTAGGTACCACGTATTTGAAGTGAGAAAAGGGGAAATCGAATCAGGACAACTGACACCCTCCTTTGATTGTCTATCTATGCACATCCTGAGAGCAAACTATCAAGCTGCAATATGGAACAACTGTCTGGAAGCTAAATATCCAACTCAACGGGCAACAGATGGTCATGGGTGGGTGCAAGAAAATGGTCACATAGAGATTTGCTGGATGACAGGACCTCTTGTTCCAGATGCTGTTCTTGAGTTCATTTCTTGCAAGTGCACAACAGTTTGTAAGCTGCCAAGTTGTCAGTGCCTTATCAATGGACTGAAATGCACTGTGTCATGTTGGAACCAGACTTGTGACAATATGGTATGCGAGGACCATGACATGCCGAAGAGTGACACTGATGATGCAGCTGATGTTTATGATGCGGACCAGTGACTATCACTAACCAATTTAATGAACTTGAAGGTGCTCTCACTCTTTGAAATTAAAGAGCTGTCTTCAGAATAAATAAAATTATGAGTTTTCGAAAAAGCTCTTTGAACTTACAATTTTGACTCTTACAAAATCCGGAAACGATATGATTTAAAGGTATCAAATAACACAACTTGATATTAATTAAATCTTTTTAATCATGTTAGCACTATTTTACCTCCCTTTTTTTTATTTCAAACCAAAGTTTTGGGTTTTTTTGGCGGCCATCTTGGATTTAGCCTCGTTCTGAGTTTGAGCTACCAAACCATCATACATTTTTGATATGTAGAGACCAAAAAGAATATAAAAAACATTAAAACGTTTGGTCCCTCTGAGTGGTACTAATCTGTCAATTTTCAGCTCCTGGCTCCTGGCCAAATTAACGTGCATGGGATAAAGGCTGCATTCTTGAGTTAAGGAATCGGTGCTGGTAATTGGAAGAAATATCAGAAGAAATGTATTTAAGATAAGTATCCTGTCTGCACTGGGCCATTAAATACCTTACAAGTCAGGTAATGTCATGGAGATCTCGAATCGCACACTTCTCGCCCTGAAATAGGTACCACCCAGATTCACCGAACATGCACCAACTTTTTTATGGCGACTAAAAAACATATACCACATGTTTATTCGACGGTGGTGTATTTGATAATTGGCTTTAGACCTTCTGTTTGCAGTGTTCCGGTGAACGAATTTATGCCTAGCGTTTTGAAATCGTTTGTAATTGTGTGGTCAAAATCCTTTTCTCAAGAATATTGTTCTTTTGCCAATGTGTTCGGTGCAAATTCAATATTGAATCCTATTGTGTTCTATGGAAGAAGGTAATGTATGCGACGTGGTTATATAATCTCCGCCCACTGATGAATATTCATGACTATTCTACACTTAAGCCCATTCTACATTTAAGGTCACAACAAATATATCGAACACAACACTGCCTTTACTTAAAACAGCCACGATAAGCTGCCCACATGAATGCTGATAAGATATTTCTGTAACATATTCTGAAAATAGATTACTACCTCAGAAGGTTTTGTTGGAATGGCGCACCCTGGCTGGGCTTATTTGTTTTGTTGCCATGGATGTACCAACGGCTTGCAACCAACACAAATTTGTTTCTTGTTTTATTATTTTTGGTTGATACTTACCACATTCCTAACTTTCTTCTTTATGCTGTTTAAATTAAATATATACCATATCATCGTCTTTGTTATAAAGAACTGAGGGTACATTAGGAGTCGAATGGAATATCTCTGAACATTAAGAAACTCAACTATTCTGGTCTGACTGATAAGATTCCTTGTTTTATATGGGTCGTGTTTTCAAAACCATGTCGGGGTTTGTGTTTATTCTTTGTGCATGTACTTTCGGATATGTCACCTCCCTGACGCGTGAGTATTTTTGTTGTGGCCAATAAGTTAAAGACAAAACAACATTAATGGATCATGAAAGAGTTTAGAATGACGCTCATATTTATTTCGAAATCTTCAGTAACCAATGCTTGTCGTAAGAGGCGACTAACGGGATCGGGTGGTCAGGATCGCTGACTTGGTTGACACATGTCGTCGGTTCCCAATGGCGCATGTCGATGCTCATGCTGTTGATCACTGGATTGTCTGGTCCAAACTCGCTTATTTACAGACCGCCGCCATATAGCTGGAATATTGTTTAGTGTGGCGTAAAACTAAAGTCACAGACTCACTCACTTATTTCGAAATCGACATAGAACAGGAACCAAAGATTGATTTCGTGGCAGTTTTCGTTGTTTTAATATTCTGTGGGCGTTCTTAACGTTACGGTTCTTAGCTCATGCATCTCAGTAGCATTCGTGACCCACTCGAGTTATTCCGGGACAAGCCGAATACCGACTCGTGCCCCTCTGGGAGGTTTTCAAATTGGCCTACGAACATCAGAACTACTTCACACAAGAACGACAACATTCTCTCTAACATTTCAACATAAACAGAATTACTGAACCAGTCGCAAAATTGCTCGCTATAACACCTGTTGGTCACGAATGCGGATCATTGTGTGTTCTGGTGGGCGATAGCTCTAAGCGACGGTCCAACTTCTGCTGAAGAGGTGGTTGTGGACAGGGGTACAACGAATGTTTACAGAAACGTAACCTAACCAAAAACAGAATACAGAAACGTGCCCTTGTGGAGAATCTAACCAGGGTCTTCGGCGTGACGAGCGAACGCTTTAACCACTAGGCTACCCCCACCTCCACAGTGGGGTGGATGACGATGCATATTTACACATCGAAGTTACGGTATCGCTTCGACGATAGCACGCGGAGACACACAATCAATGTGAACAAATGATAACAACGCAAATCGAAATAGTGTGACACGTTTTAGGATATTTTCCCAATGAAAGTAAACCATTTTCTTACCCACGAGGTCAACGTATGGGTAGTTGCATACTATCTCGTACGTCACACGAGTGTCGTATCGCGTTGACCTGGGTGCCGTTGTACAAAGCGATCTTAGCGCTAAGGTGACCGTAACTCCCATACCTTAACATAGGCTTAATTAAGGTAGCCTTAGCGCTAAGGTTGTTTTGTACAACGGCACCCTGTGTCGTAACGACTTGACCTGAGATTCTAACGATTTGATTGGATAACCGATGACCTCTCAATTAGGTCACATTCTGACGTAACTATTTTTCATTCATAACAAACACGTGAATTCATTCATTCTACAACTTAAATGCATTGTGGGAATGTAAACATTGCGAACGTTGCCGTGTCGCTGTTTAATTGTGAGTCGAACTGAGACATTATATCCGTCGAAAAACATAAGCGCAATGTTTCCACCAGTGATGTTAGCCGAATGAAGCAACTGGAAACCAAGAAACGAGGCGCTACGGAGTAGTTTACTGTAGGAGGCTGTACGAGGCGATGACAACTGACAGGCATCGTGACGTCTGTTACCAAGGCAGTGACATCATTACAGTATGACGTCATGCAAATATTGTACTACAGCACACTCCGGCACAGCGATGACATAACATAACATCACTGCCACAGGTTAATTTGCATATCACGTGACCGGACTTTTCTCTTGTTTGTAATCAAACGCGCATATTCATAATAAGAAGAGACTGGACTCACGAAAGCTTTTCGGCGCTCTCTTCATAATGTTTTACATTGTTACATATATATTCTTCCACAACTGCGACAGTAAGGTCTATGACAGTACATATTTAGAAGTCAAACTGGCTCCATCGTTTGCTCTCCACCAGCTTCGATGACAGCACGTACGTGGAGCCGTACAACCTATGTAAACAAAGGATCGCTACGCAAATCGAAATAGTGTTACATGTTTTTGGATATTTTCTCAGTGAAACTTAACCATTCTATTAAAGATGTTTAGTTAGACGTGTAGACTCGTCAAAATAAAAGAGTAAAAGAAATCTGTACATTATATTGAATGGACGGTGCAAGATGTGACGAATTGTCACATTTTTTCTGGCCTGTGGCAGAGATACTATGCTGGCTTGCCGCATGGAACTCTGGGTAGGAGAGTGGTACTACAGTACAAAACTCTTCCGCAACCTCTTTATGAAACCGGGTTTGAAACCAAAAACAGAACAAAAATACGCTATTTTGTCAATTTAATGCATGTAAGACGTGGGTAATAAATAAAATACCACACTGGGTCTCATTACATACGAATCATACGAAACTCGTGACCTTCCTATAATATCTGACATCGCTTTGGCTCGGTCAGATACCATAGGAAAGACACTCGTTTCGTATAATTCGTATGTAATGAGACCTCGTGTAGTATTCTATATCTATCATATAATAATAATAAATGTCCATTTATAATGCGCGCAATCCAGGTAGATATGCTTGCTAAGGCGCTACAGGGAATTGTCAGATAAAACTCAGGGAGTGTTCACTGGATTAAATGTCACTATGATACTTGGAAAACATGGGTCTTCAGTCTTGATTTGAATTTCTCAAAGGTTGGACACAGTTTCAACTCTGATGGAAGTGAGTTCCAGAGGATAGGGGCAGTGCTGGAGAAGGATCTGGAGCCAAATGTTTTCAGTCGATATTTAGGAACTTGGAGGAGATTGTCGTCACTTGATCGAAGTTTACGGGCTCTCCAGAGTGTATGGAGGAGCCAAGAGTTCAGATAGATAGTCAGGCCTGGTGTTATGGAGGCATCGTTAGGTGATACAGAGAAGCTTGAACTCTATCACTGATGTTTAATTATATGTATCAAAATAAAACAGTTGAAAAACAGATACACTATATCAAATGGACTGAGTAAGATGTGACGAATCCTCACATGTACTATCGTACTATGCTGGCCGCATAGAACCCTGGGTAGGAGAGTAACGTGTGACTTGTAAAGACAGAGCCAAGTTCTCGCGTTACCCTGTTGCACCTTCGCTGAGAATGGTCGTTTACAACGGAAAGAGTTTAAGTGGCACACATATTGCAGTATATTATTAGTTACACGGGTGGTCAGACTCGCTGACTTGGTTGACACATGTCATCGGTTCCCAATTGCGCAGATCGATGCTCATGCTGTTGATCACTGGATTGTCTGGTCCAGATTCGATTATTTACAGACCGCCGCCATATAGCTGGAATATTGCTGAGTGCGGCGTAACACTAAACTCACTCACACTGTTAGGTAGTCTATATTACTTGGGGTGAAGGGGGTTGTTGTCGGCATCTGTATATAGAAACGTACCCCAGCCCAAATCAGAATAAAAGAAACCTACCCTGGGACGAGTCCATTCTGCATTGTGCCGTTTTCTTAATCGAATTGTCATACTGTTGTATTAGATACGTTTGATTCGCTATGTAAGAAACGAGTATACAGAGCAGCGAATATTTCGTGGTGCACAATATTACTCGCAATCAACTCAACGAATAACACTTACGGTTTGGGTTTTGGGTTGTGGGATATGGACTCGTCCCCCGTTTAGGATACAATGTACGTTTCTGTATTTTGACTTTGTTTAGAATACATTTCTGTATGCAAAAACCTGAGTTACATATTTGTAGTACCTGTGCCGGCAACCTCTTCAGCATTACATGAAATAATACACATGTGTCTATACTGGAATAGACATGTGTCTACTGGAATACACATGTGTCTATACTGGAATACACATGTGTCTATACTGGAATACACATGTGTCTATACTGGATACTGGAATAGACATGTGTCTATACTGGAATACATGTGTCTACTGGACTGGTCTATATAAAACACATGTGTCTATACTGGAATATACATGTGTCTATACTGGAATATACTGGACATGTGTCTATACTGGAATACACATGTGTCTATACTGGAATAGAAATGTGTCTACTGGAATATACATGTGTCTATACTGGAATAGACATGTGTCTATACTGGAATAGACATGTGTCTACTGGAATACACATGTGTCTATACTGGAATAGACATGTGTCTACTGGAATACACATGTGTCTATACTGGAATAGACATGTGTCTATACTGGAATAGACATGTGTCTACTGGAATAGACATGTGTCTACATGTGTCTATACTGGAATAGACATGTGTCTATACACATGTGTCTATACCTGGATATACATGTGTCTACTGGAATACACATGTGTCTATACTGGAATACACATGTGTCTATACTGGAATACACATGTGTCTATAGGAATACATGTGTCTATACTGGAATACACATGTGTCTATACTGGAATACACATGTGTCTACTGGAATAATACACATGTGTCTACTGGAATGTGTCTGCTGGAATACACATGTGTCTGGAATACACATGTGTCTATACTGGAATACACATGTGTCTATACTGGAATACACACGTGTCTACTGGAATACACATGTGTCTATACTGGAATAAACATGTGTCTATACTGGAATACACATGTGTCTATACTGGAATACACATGGGTCTACTGGAATAGACATATGTCAACACATGTGTCGTCCTTGTGTACATTGGTGTTATCAGAGAAACTGTGACCCAAGACAAAATTCTAACATCTGACGATGGCATAACTACATTTCAGAATGCGAGAGCCAGTACGGCGGCAGCTGTGTGAACTTCGTGTACAACCAGTGTCTGTCCGGCTACCAGTACACCTATAATGGGTGTGGCTTCCAGGAGATGTGCTGCATTCCCTCTGTACAGCCGTCAGTCACGACGATAGCAGCAGGTGTGGTCATCATACATACGAATACTTCGGTCAGACTTTGGGTCAATAGAATTTGCATCAAATTAAGGTCAGCAGCTCGGCATTAAAAATATATTGGTATGTCCATTTTCTTTTGTATTAATACGGTACCCCTTCAAAATATGCAGACAAGCTAGCTCGCCCTCTCTCTCTTTCTCTCGCTCTCTCTCTCTCTCTCTCCCATCTCTCTCTCTCTCTCTCTCTCACTCTCTCTCTCTGCACCAACCACAACACACACACGCACACGCAAACAAACCCGCAGTAGGTTTGTGACGCACCCAACAACAACACACACGTTAGGTTTGTGAACGAAATATTATCGTTGAAGATACCATAAATAATTTAGAGTACCAATCTTGTCTGTATAGGTCAGTGTGGGGTGGCATTTCCCGATCCACTACCAGCGACAAACAGAATAGTAGGGGGCACAGTCGCCGCCCCTGGCGAATTCCCATGGCAGGTCAGTTAACAGCAGTTTTATCATTTATTCGACCTTTATTGCAAAACCCGGATGTGTACATTGTTCATGGTTCTGCTTCAAGACAGAAAATTGTCTGCGTTGGAAGGAGAGGACCAAACCATATTGTTTTCTGGACACCCAGTGATTCGTTCACTTCTTTCAATCCGGGGGCGGTGGGGTAGCCTAGTTGTTAAAGCGTTCGCACGTTACGCGGAATACCCGGGTTCGATTCCCCACATGGGTACAATGTGTGAAGCCCATTTCTGGTGTCCCCCGCCGTGATATTGCTGGAGTATTGCTAAAAGCGGCGTAAAACTAAACTCATTCACTCAATTTTAAAAAATCCCAAAGCACATTGTTTTCCGGACAACTAGTGATTCGTTTACTTCTGTCAATCCGATGATTGTTTTTTCTGGAAACATGTTATGGGATTCACCCTGAGATGTTCCCTAGTCTGTCAGTACCATTTTTGTGCTCAAGTCGTGGCAAGCATCGACAAGATGCCTCGTTTTCAATTCTCTTCCAATGTCCCAGGATCAGATGATATCAGTTTGAACCCAAAATTCGCCATTAAAGTGATTATTGGTTTGCTGGCACACTGGAAACCACTGGACCCCGTACCGCAAAGCGATCTTAGCTCTGCGATGGTCGAAAGCCTATGCTGACGTACTGGAGTTACGATTACCGTAGCACTAGGATCTTTTTGTGGTACGTGTCCCTGGAATTGGGTCCCACTCAAACGTAAACGACCAGGAATCTTTTCCATTTCCGCATTCTTCTTACCCTGACCGCCCTCATATGGCTGTTAAAAAGTGCGCTGCGATGGTCTAGTAGTTAAAGCGTTCGCTCGTGACGCCGAAGACCTGGGTTCGATTCCCTACATGGGTACAATGTGTGAAGCCTATTTTTCATGTCCTTCATGGATTTTGCTTGAATATTGCTAAAAGTGGCGTAAAACTAAATTCACTTACTCGCTCATAGCTGTTAAACGTTCATGCGTGTTGTGTGTTTGCTTTTACTCCCAATGGGTATGCTTCGTCTGAGTGAGGGCGATCAGTTTTACACCGCACTCAGCAATATTCCAGCTATATGGCGGCGGTCTGTAAAAAATCTAGTCTGGACCAGACAATCCAGTGATCAACAGCATGAGCATCGATATGCGCAAATGGGAACCGATGACATGTGTCAACCAATTCAGCGAGCCTGACCACCCGATCCCGTTAGTCGCCTCTTACGACAAACATGGGTTGTTGAGGAGCAGTTCTAACCCGGACCTTCACGGATGGGTAACGCTACTGGTGGATCACGCTAATGTTCATTGTGTTCGGATATATCAGAGCACTCTGAATTCTTCAATATTGTAGGGTCCAGCCCGTGTCGCTTTATGGGAGTATGGGGCCACGGGTAAGGTGGGAGGTAGGGGACTGTCGCCACATTCGATATACAGAGTTCCGTCTTCGTCGGATATAACTGGTTATTCCCTAGCGTTGACGTTATGTATGCATTGTACTTTTTCTACTCACAGGTGTCTTTGAGGGTTTACGAAGCTAACAAGGGCCACGAGTGCGGGGGCATCCTCATCAGTGACCAGTGGATTCTGACTGCAGCTCACTGCTTCAAACAGTAACATCCTCTCACGCCTTGACGTTACGATATATCTCATATCTAAACAATACCGGACTATAAGGGCCGTTGAGGTTAAAGCGTTGGCTCGTCACGCCGTAGGCCCAGCTTCGATTCCCCACATGGGTACAATGTGTTAAGCCCATTTCTGGCGTCCCCCGTCGTGATATTGCTCGAATATTGCAAAAAGCTCCATCACTCACTGTAATATAAAGATTGAAGGGAATCCGCAGGCTTAACCGTTATAGGGCAAGTTTACACGAAAATGTTTGTCAAAAGTAATTTTAACGTCAAAACAATACAGATATCAGAAGTAACTAATATATTTTTTGCGTTATATCGATTCACATTTGCCACATTAACCGAGAGTTCTATGTCCACAATGAACACCACCATAGCTTATGTCCCTTTGAAATGACGTCAGTGGTGCACGACTGATAAACGAATGACGTCGTTAGACCTCATTAGGACCCATTACACGTAGTGCAGTTATAGGTGTGGTTCTTGTGTCTCGATGTGCAGGCTACTATTTTAATCCAGCTGTTGCTTGGCTGTCAGTTGGCTATGTGGTCAGTTCCACACTGTGATGACGTTACATTGTACAAAAGGTGTTACCACGTAACCAAATTGTTGTAACATTCAAAGTGTATCGGTCGTCTTTCCAACAGTATCTTCTTTTACCAAAACTAAAACGTATATGCACTAGGATCTAACTAGCCATCTGTGAATGTGTACTAAATTCCTACATAAATCGTACTATACATGTCCCTCCTCTTCAACCATCAAAATAGTCAACTCCTCTCCACCTTTCTAAAGTATAATATTATTTGCCTGTCGTAAATTGAACACCAATAACAGGCTATTGTGTATGGGCTTATAGGCTTAGCTTTTGACACTAATTGTGCTTTTTGTTCTAAATGCAGAATCCTGATATCAATAACCATATAGGCACTGACGCGTCGACACAAAAAAATTCAAAAAGTAAATAATCATCCTGTTCACGTAGGTATTTTGATACTAAATAACGAATGTCAATGATCTTTCAATGTACTGCCAAATGAACTGCTTGGAAAAGAAATCTACACTTGGATTTGTCCAGGAAACCGTTATCGGTCACAAGACAGAAACAGTCGCTGAAAGGCGGGGTCCAAAACACAAAAACATCCCTGTCAAACAACCATTTATTCTTTGTTTCAAGAAACATTTTTGCCACTACCAAGCACAGCTGAATACTTGATTTTATCCGGCAGTTTACATACTGACATAAAGCTGTTATTATTATCCTGTCAATATTATTCATAGCAGCAGAAAGGTAATTTATTGACACCGGGCAAGAACTAAATATAAATTGAAACGACAGGCAAGAATATTAGATACTGTAATTGGCATTCTACCATGACATTTTAAGTATGTTCGTTTTGATTGGCTGTTACTAAAACTTAGAAGTAAAAAAATTCAATAACCACTTCTGAGAGCCGGTTCACTGCGCGTAGAATATTTTACACTCATTACCCTACGCAAAGGTAATGAGTGCATATTTAAAACGCGTTGTATTCATGGTGCATATGTCATGGTAGAATGCGTTCTGTTTTTAATTACATTTAGCAGCGTTCAACCAACTAGAATCACTCCCAAAATGTAAACACAATAGGATTATCTCCTAAATCTCGATAGCATTTTCGCAATGAAACATGCAAACAAATGAAAACGAAGTATATTTTTGACAATAACGTTGCATGTTCATGTTTTCTTCAAAAGCTAATGTATACGCGGCAAGCTGAATGACCGATCCCTTTGAGACTTTTGTTTTTCAAGAAGGTTGTGATTTCAGTTAGTTTCAGAAACCTATGGAAGAGATATAGGCCTACCTTTAGAATACAGCACCATAAAATACGTCATTATACCATTTTACGTAATTTTATGTGATTTTGTTCTCGAAGCAATGCCCTAATACCCCTGCACGGCAACACGGTTGTCTAGCTCAGTGAGTGCGTATAAAACATTTACTCACACAGACAATTCCCAACAGGGCAACTGCCCACTCGGACAATTCCGCACACAGACAATTCCCCACACATTAAAAGTATAAATAACAACAAAGTGATATTGACTTTTTATTATATATTTATTCATTCTTTCACATTCCTTAACAATAATTAGTATCAGTATGTCCAGTTTAATTGTCAGTATCAGACACTTTAATTATATATTTCACATTCTTCAATAAATACATAGAGGTACAGTATCCGACACACATGTGATAACAATGATGACATTTGTACATTCTTTCATTCAGCCAAGACGAGATGTTCTTTGAAATGGATATCAGGAACCGATCCAGGGATTTCTGTCAGGGTTTCGTTGTTCAAAACAACCTTATCTCTTAAGGTCAACCATATCTCTAAGATTACAACCTTAGACCTTTACTAAGGTTAGCCTCCCGTTACTGAAACAAATCTTTAACTAAGGCTAACCTTAAGTTGGGTTGATAACTATGGTTGGTCAAGACCCAACATTAGCGTCTCTAAAGGTTGGGTGTAGGAATATGGGCAACACAAAGTTTCTTGAGGCATTGTTGGTGATCTTTGGTTGCTTTCTTGACACGCTTGGAGGGAGGCCTGATTTGCTGCGGCTAGATGAAACTTATTATATATATATATGCCAGGGATTTACGACCTGTCGTAACTCTATACTTACCAAAGGCTTGCGACACTCGTAGCACTACTCAGGCTTTGTGGATCAGGATGCCGTTGTACAAAGCGATCTTAGCGCCAATGTGATCGTAACTCCCATAGACTTACGTCTGGCGTAGCGCTAAGGTTGCTTTGTACAACGCCCCCAGGACCTTGTTTACTGACATTCCGCAGGGAGAAGAACCCGTTTGCGTGGAACGCCGTGCTGGGAGAGTATGATCGTGCTGTAGTGGACGGCTACGAGAAGATCGTGAAAGTGGAAACCCTCATCGTACACAGCGGCTTCAACGCCACCACCAGCCAGAACGACATCGCCATGTTGAAGATAGCGACTCACGTCCAGGATTATACTAAATACATACGTCCAGTGTGTTTACCGTCGAAGACGGAGACGTTTGACGGCATGTATTGCACGGCCACAGGATGGGGCGCCATGCACACAGGTAAACTCGTGCACGGGTCTTGTGAATGAATTTAGTTTTACGCCGGTTTTAGCAATATTCCAGCAATATCACGGCGGGGAACACCAGAAATGGGTAAACATTGTACCCATTTGGGGAATCGAACCCGGATCCTCCGCGTGACGCACGAACGCTTTAACCATTAGGCTACCTCACCGCCACATATGGGTCTTGTGGTGTAGTACCAGTCAGGATCCGGGTTACAATTCATCTTCAGTAACCCATGCTTGTCGTAAGAGGCGACTAACGGGATTGGGTGGTCAGGCTCGCTGACTTGGTTGACACATGTCATCGTTCCCCAATTGGGAATAAAGATGCTCATGATGTTGATCACTGGAATATTTTGTCTTGACTCGATTTTACAGACCGCCGGCATATAACTGAGATATTGTTGAGTACGGCGTTAAACAACTAAAAGGAAACTCGTGGTCTAGTGGACTGAGTGTTTGTCAGGGTGCAGAATGTCAGTGGTTCGATCCCCGGTCGCGTCAAAAGATGGTGGTTGATGTTACCCTGCCTACTGTTCGGCATTAGGTTATGTTAAACAAGGAACTGGTCGAGTAACAATACTGTATCTGAGTAGTGCTGCATGATCTTCAGTGGGCCAATGAATGCAGGTGACTTATGCATTAGCCATGCATTAAACGCGCACGAAAGCACGCACGCATACACGCACATGCACACCGCTATATAAGTGAAATAGCCTTGAACGCCACGTAAATGAAACCTGATTCACCTCACCTGTCCAGTTCTGTCAAATGTTTGACACCATGCTCCGTACTGTCAAAGGCACACCTTACCCCACATGCCAAATATGAGACGCTCTGTTCTGTTCTACAAACAGTACTCCTAAATAAGTCTAATGTGTGGCATATACTTTCAGAGTCCTAGTTCATGTACTACTACTGACATTGCTTCCTGGGCCTGGTCCACTATTTAGAGAACAACTTGGAGTAACGGATTTTGTCACGAGTGATATTAAAAGCTTAGTAAAGGGAGCCACAGGGACGAGGTCATCCAGTGAATGGCCCAGTCTTGCAAGACGCTGTCATTTGCTGTGCAGAGTTGCTTCTCTTAGCCTAGCCTTAGTCTACTCTTAGCCTTGCCAGAACCCCATGGTCGGAGGTTCAAAATTCCAGATTTGCCCCTGTTGTGTTTCAAGATTTGTCTCCGATCTGTATTGTTGCGGATTTATTTCCCATGATAGAACTATAATGCTATTCAGTTCGATGCTATACCGAATCACTCACTCATTCAACAGCAATTGTGGGCCAAGGTTTTTCTATGAAATGTGACGATGACATCTTCCCAGAGAGTCAGAGGTGTAGATAACTGTGGTACACTTTTTATCTATATGGACAGTTCTAATTATATCTTTGGTGCTGTAGTAATACTTTCCGTATGATGGACAATACTATCCTTCTTAGGGTTGCAAACACTTTTGGGCAGGTCAGTCGTAGTCTGTTTTACGCACAGTATCTTTCATCGTTTCGCTGGGGTGGAACGTCAAGCTTTAGCTACATCGCAATTGGTAACATTTAGGTAACACGTGCACAGTATTAGAGTGAGTGAGTGAGCTTAGTTTTACGCCTCACTCAGTAATATTCCAGTTGTATGGCAGCGGTCTGTAAATATTCTAGTCTGGAACAGACAATCCAGTGATTAACATCATGAGCATCGATCTGCGCAGTTGGAAACCGATGACATATGTCAACCAAGTCAGCGAGCCTGACCACCCGATCCCGTTAGTCGCCTCTTACGACAGGCATGGGTTGCTGAAGATCAATATTCTAACCCGGACCTTCACGGGTCACAGTATTTGAGACTCTTAAGTGACAATGACAACTCTTGTCAAATTACTTACCTTGTTTGGGGAAATGATCCTCGAGCACCAGGAGTATAATTTATTTTGTTTGTCAGTTTAAAATAATGCTTAAAAGCGGTTTTGTCGCTGGCAGACAGATCGTTATTTAAAAAATAATGCATCTATTCTAGTCGTGTATGGTGACGTTGTTGTATGTACTGTCCCCAGACGGGTACGGGACTCGGCGTCTGTACAAGGTGGACCTACCTCTAGTGAAGAATGATATCTGCTCCTATCTGATGGACCAGACAATCCCCAGTTCCGAGCTGTGTGCCGGCAACAAGCGCGGGGACAGGACACCTGTCAGGTAACCATCTTCGATTGTCCAGGGTATTTAATGCTGTTTATCTCGACAAATCTCCATAAATACCCTGGGCCGTTCACCATCAACTCTGTCATGTTCCCCATTGGACACTCAAAGATATCAAGACAATGGTCGGTTTTCTTACATTGAATTAACTGCAATTATGATGACAGTCAGTACTTTATTTAGTCTCTCACTGGACCACATTATTTTCCGAGACCTTCCTGTAGTGTTGAAGCTCTAAATGAAGCAAGTCTAGATTTTCTCAGGTTTTAGGTTCTGTGTCTCCCATTCCACAAATTAAATTAAAATGGAATTATTTGTTTTGTCAAAATGACATATATTCAGAGACAAAACGTTAGTGTATACTTTACTTTATCATGCTAACAGATCTGGCTACAATATATATAACCAACTTAGTCTTAAAAATGTTGATATCTCTCAAGACAGAATTCATTATCATCATTATCACTATAATTCTCAAATATATATACTAGACTCATGATCATCATTATCATCACCACCATTATCATTTAATTATTGTTATTATTTTTGCAGTGAGTGAGTGAGTTTAGTTTTACACCGCTTTTAGCAATATTCCAGCAATATCATGGCGGGGACACCAGAAATGGGCTTCACACATTTTACCCATGTGGGGAATCGAACCCGGGTCTTCGGCGTGACGGAGCTAACGCTTTAATCACTAGGCTACCCCACCGCCCTATATTTTTTATTCTATTTTATTTATTTATTTATTTTTTTAAAAATAGAATGATTACACGTTGTTCTCTAATTCCAGGGTGACTCCGGCGGGCCACTGGTTTGCAAGAGGAACGGTCTCTGGGAGGTAGCCGGAATTGTATCATGGGGCTACAACTGCGCAGACGCATACACACCTGGCGTCTACACGAATGTGCCTTACTTCCGGGACTGGATCAATACCGTCATGCAATACTACACCAAGTCAACCCGCCGGGGAACGGAGCTCACTGGACTACACTATCTCTAGACCGTTGTCGCATCCTGTACACACATTAAACACATAGCAAACACGTCTTTACCATGTAGTTGTATATGTGACCATTAAGTCAGTAGAATCTAAAGTTAAAGAATATCTCGATGTGATCCGCCAAAGTGACTTTTGGTGACTTTAAAAACCCTCGATCCAATATGGCTGTCTGATTGAAGACAATCTTATGAAGATCAAGATTCACCGAAGTCGAACTATCTCAAAATGAATCCCCAAATTTAAATTTTACAACTAGCACAAACATCCTCTTTGTGTTGCTCCACATAAAACGATTTTGATGCTGACATGTCGTTTTGAAGGAACTCCGTAACATCCCATCGTCTTTTCTTCAGATTTCAGATCCAAACCTGCATCCTACATTTGTAAGTGCATACATCGTGATCTGAAGACGAAGATGCAACGCAAGTTATAAAGTTTCATTTTGCCCTTGACTTCAAACACGAATACGTATATCTTAAAACGTGCAAGAATGCCGTTATTTTGAGCAGCTGGAACCGGAAGGTTGCTCAGCAAGTATGGTGAAAAAATCCATACCCTCTGATATGTACATAAAATACAGAAGTGCAAATATAATATATCCTATTTGACTGACTGGACTGACTGAGGTTAGTTTAAGCCGCTTTTAGCAATATTCCAGCAATATCACGGCGGGGACACCAGAAATGGGCTTCACACATTATATCCTATTTTAAGTGTTTAGGAACTGAATCGTGTTCAGTTTTAGTGGGTTTTCAATGTTCGCCATGGTAGGGATGCTAGTTCGGGAATATACTAGTATTAGGCAAACAGAGTAGCTCTGTTAGGCAACAAGTCAAAAATCAAAGTCGGTTAATCGTTAAAAACCTAGGTACAATAGCACGAAGTGATAACTCTACGACAATCGTAACTCCCATTCTTTGAGCGTAGAGTTACGAAGGTCGTTGCACAAGTGGGCCCAGAACAATAGCTACCGTAGCTAACTTCAGCCACCTTGCTAAGGGACCAGGGCCTAGATTTTCAGAAGCTCTCTTAGCACTAAGATAGTCGTAAGTGCAATACATTAACATTAACTTACGGCTATTTTAACGCTAAGAGAGGCTTCGAAAAATCTAGGCCCTGGCCCTGATCCAACATAGTTTTCGTAACGTTACGACCTGTCGTAACTTTATCGTTTATCATAGACTTAGTCGTAGCGCTGCAATGTTTTGTGGGTCGGGGACCCAGTTTTATTAAAATGGCGTAACGTCTGTGTGAAAATGGGTAAGTGGTAGAGAGTTGGTTTTAAATCCCCTTCGAACAGTACCAGGACATTATTGTGTGTGGGGCAGTCGCCTTGGAAACTGATTAATGGTATCCATTGAATTAGAGCAAGTGAGCGTGAGTTTGGTTTGATTGGGGAATCGAACCTGGGTCTTCAGCGTGACGAGCGGGCGCTTTTACCATTAGGCTTCCCCACCGTCATCATAAGCATAGATCAACTCAATGTATCAAATATGTACATTGATGGCTCATACCACTCTGGAGTGAGTGAGCTTGACCAATATTCCATTTCACATAGTGTTCTTGCATATAACACTGTTCAAGAAACTTTAATAAAAATATTTCCCTAATGACAGACCTGTGAAGAAATGGGTCTTTAGCAACCTATGCTTGACGGAATCGGGAGGTCAGGCTCGCTGCCTTAGTTGACACGTCATCAGTTCCCAATTGCGCAGATCGATCCTCATGCTGTTGATCACTGGATTGTCAGGCTCAGACTCGATTATTTACAGACCGCCGCCATATAGCCGTGATATTGCTGGAATATTGCTGAGTGCGGCGTAAAAACTAAACCTTCCACTCACTCACTCGTAGATCGATGTTCATGATGTTGACCACCGGGATTGTCTGGTCCGGATACCTCACATGCAACTGGAATACACAAACACCAGAAGACAATAGAAATCGGCTTCGAGTGAATCGAGAACGTTCTTACTCATCGTGTTACCGTATTAACATACTAACAAACTTCACTTTATGACGAGCAAACAGATGTTTTCTCAGCGAAAAGAGTAGACTGATATTTTTTGCATTGTCACATATATACCTTTGAGGTCATTTTTCAACATTTAGTGTAGCTCCCACTCACTCACTCGCAACGATAACAACGTTTCCCTGAGGTGCGTGTTTTTTAGATAGGGAGCGGTGTGGTAGATTAGTGGTTAAAGATCACATATACCCTAGAGGTACAAATACATAAATCACTAACTGGCATCGTTATAAATGAAACCCCGTCATTAAAACTACTCATTTTGACCTTTAATTGACTTAAATCGACCTTTTGACAACAGTGCACAATTCTCACCCGCGAACGAAATTTCAACCAATCAGAGCGGCGCGTCTCTGTGACGTCATATGAGGAATAGCTTTGAAGGCCGATGCAGAATTCATCTACATTTTAGGGGGTACATTATCTTGTTTACAGGCTTGTATAAACCTGAAATCGTGACAATTGTTGTGGGGAAATGAAAGCTATATGTTCTCACAATCTACTGTCATTTAATTTTGTCTCCTGCTTTGCCTAGTTTCCGAGTTACAACTTGTTTTCATAGACGATTCTGTCAAAATCGATTGGTGTCGTTAGGCCCTATTTGTATAATGACTGATCCAAATTGATCCCATTTCTGTGTTTTTTACCTCGATATTTAATCATGTCATGTAAAATCTGTTTGTATTCTCAAAACAGTGTCGGCCCATAAGTTTTCACATGCAATACAGCAATTAATACTCCCTCGTTGTAACCCGTGTTAGGTGGTATAAACCTACACATGTTATTTGTCATCATTCACTTGATGGTCAGTTAATGAATTTATAACTGGTATAATTAGTGGTAACACACTTAGATTACCCGACAAAGGTTCCCATTTGGCATTTCTTGTGTCTGGAGTAAATATTCAACATTATAAACATCGATCAAAGGATTAACCGATAACACGCTGATTGATTAATTACTTTTATCTTACACAGCGGAATTGTCAAAAGGTATTGTTTATGTATGTAGATTTTACTAATCTATACTGAATACACTCTGTCGTGTCGGTGTATGCGTAAAATACAACGTCCTTCTTTCAAAGGATTAACCGGCAATACATTGATTGATTGCCCATTATTGGCTAACTAAATTACTGTTTTTTTAAAGAAAGGCGGACATTGTGCAATTAGTTGCCAGGTGTGCTATCTTGGGTGACCAATGAGACTATACACCAATACCTGAAAGATTTATCACTTTTTCGTATATTAAACTGTTAAAAGAAATATCATTTGGAACAGTTCTGTGGATATTGATGGATACATTCCTCGAACAAGGTAATGGCCTGATATTGTTCCTATAACTTTAATCTGTTTTTAATTTTAATATTTGCATTTTGTTTTATTCATTTTGTCGTAGCATTCAACAGAATCATTCTTTTCGCCGTGAGTGTAATGAGACAGACAACATGCACTAGGGTGTGTGTGCGAATTATGATTGACAATGGCAAACTATAAAATGTCTAGATATTACAGTTCTGATATAAATTCACTCTATAAGTATCAGCAGATCGTCTGCTTTTATTAAGTTTGAAAATGCATACAAGTATGGTTATAAACTAATTAGGATTATAAGACCAAATATAAAGACGCACATTGACTAGTATATACATACTGGTGAGTGGACATTAACCATGTGAATGTAGCAGAAATTTATCGCGCAGTATTGTGACTTCGGTCTCCACCTCGCTTCCGTGGAAGAAATCGTTATGTTATAAGTTGTGTCATGCAAAATCCGTTTGGTTATGATTCCAATACATATTTAACTACTTCTGAGTAGAAAGTAGTTTTGCTTTTCTAACTTGATGAAAACAAACTATAATCTCATTAATTCTAACAGACTTTTACGATTTTCAAAATGGCGGCGCCCTGTCGGGAACATCCGCCAGTCTGAGGATAAATGCTATTTAGGTTTGTTTTCACCGAGTTACAAAATCAAAACTTACTTTTACTGGTAGTAAAATATATATTTTATTGATGGCCAATAGGATTTTGCATGACTATAAGCGTATAACATAACAATTTCTCCTGGCAGCGAGGTGGGTGTCAATATAATACTACTTACAATATTATTGTTACTTCGACTACAACCTCGCTTCCGAGGAAGAAATCGTTATATTTACAAGTTGTGTCACGGAAAATCTTTATGGTCATCAATCATATACATATTTTACTACAACTAGTAAGTAGTTTTGATTCTTTAACTTCCGTGAAGCGATCTGAACACACAATGCTCACTTCGCACTCACAAACATAACCCATTTAGCACGAACTGCGGGGTCCTGTGGTAATCTGTGCATGGTGACACCATCCGCCCGACCCCTAGGCGCAATTGACGACAAAGCAACGATTCGGCATGTCGTCGTTGATGTCGAAAATCATCAAAATGATGAGCGTGCTACACACTTTCTATACAACTAACTGAAAATCGTTCCTCATATGACGTCACTGCAGTGCTCTGGCGACAGAGTTACGTAACCTGTCTGTGGTTTCGTTGGCGGGCGAGGAGGGAAGCAGGCGACTTTGGAGCCACTTTTAATCGCTCGGTATTAATTAACCACAAGTTTTTAAAGAATAAATTTGGTGTTCCGCATAAGACTAACCACAAATCTTTCATATGTAATGGTTAAAAGAGTATCAAAAAAAAAGGTTTATTGGTTCTTTAAAAGCGTTCTCTCGTCACACCGAAGACCCGGGTTCGATTCCTCACATGGGATAAAATAATACTACTGTTGTTGACTCAATGCGTGTCTATAGCTATTACTTATATTATATACTTATAATCATTTATCCATTTTATACAACATATATCACATCATATATATAATATAATCCATTTATACAAATTAATACAACATCAATATTTCACAGCACACTTAATAAAACCAGTCAAATGTGATACTGAGTCAATGTATGAAATGACTGTTCTGGCACCAATTGTCAGTTCACTTTTGTACATTTCAAAGGCATGGTTCA